TGAAATTGGCAAAATAATGATTCTAGTTTTCCCAGTTATCACATTTAATAGATTCCCCTCTGATCACATTATATGTTAACTTCTAGCATAATGCTATATATTTGTTATGTAAAAGAGGGTTTTATGCAAACTGAATACATCTCTGCGTAAACTTCTTTAGAAATGGAAATAATTCTAACTTGCTCCAGTTTATCAGCTTTAATGCTGTTAAGTGAAAATACTTGAGCATGTCACAGCTGAGCAAATATTAAAGAAAAACAGTGAATGCTTTAGGTAGGTAACTAATAGCAAGCCAGAGGCCAGCCAAGTTCTTTCATTTTAATTACTTTTAATCCCTATCCCTTGTCAAAAGAACAGGGGAAGAGATGTTCTCAGTAAAATTCAAGAAATCCTATCACCAAGCCAAAATTCCCTCTATTAACTAAGTTACAGGTGGAAATCCACTTCTAAAAAAATTGCCATGGCAGGTTGTTAACACGCCAGGACTATCTGCAAATACACTTGTTTAAACACAACAGATTGCCTCTACTCAGCTGGTTCATTAATCACAATTCAGCTTGCTATCAGGAGTGAAAATTACTGATGTTATTAAATTTCCACCCCATTACCTTGACTTTTATTTGGAACCATGCATCAACGATTTCCTTCACTAGAAGTTGCAAGTTCACCAAGCCAAAAAATCACCAAAGAAACACAATACATTTGATGTTATCTTGGAAACCTAAAGAGTCAGTGCAAAGTCTCTTAAGCATTATAGTAATCTGCTCAAGACCATTCTCATGCCATTGCTTCAAGAAACTTGGGTATAGACATTGCAAATAGTGTTTGAGAGAATAAACCTTCAATGCTTAAAGTAATGAATTTCCAGTAATTGGTTTCAACCCATCCTCTGACAAGTCTGTTACTGTCCTCAGTCTTTTTGATAGTGCCCCCAAAACACCTCTGTTTAAGAAACTGGAATCCCTTGCCTTTAATGAAAGGCTGTCGGTTTCATCTTACTGCCTTCTCCAGGAATGTTCCAGTCCAATGATGCTATTTCCCAGCTGTCCCCTGGAAACGTTCAGGGGTACCCCATCCAGGATTGGTTCTGAGACAGATGTCTTCTAAGAGAAATTGAGATTGTAAGAAATATTAACCAATCAACAAATATTTATTAACTACTGTTCATGGGAACAGAGATAGCCACTAAAGAGAATATAGTATGAGAAGACAGAGTCTTCTGAAACTTTACTATCTAGATGTGTAGAATACGCATATACACAGCAAAAGCTAACTCCTAATACAGAATAGCAGATTGTTGGTGCTAAATGAATGTCATGGGTAGGAACAGCAATAGGACTCTGGAAGACTCACTCTAGATTACCGGGATGAGATAATTAGGCCACCCTCTCAGAGAAGAGAGAGGTATGGCGCGGACAAAGGAGGGGAGGGGAAACAAAGGGATAGAGAGAGATGGGGAATCATTTGTATTTGAGAGCTAAATGGAGAGATTCTGCAACAAATATAAATTTGGTTTTGTGCCTGTTGTCAGTGTGTGTACATTTCAAGTACGAGTAAGATTAACCTTAAGCACATTTTGACACTATTCATTTAAAACCTGAAGCACACAGGTCGTCCTCCACACACATAGGCTGATACTGTTTGGCTCCACTAATAATCACGGGAAATAGAGCCCTAGTGGAATTACCATCCCATGACCCCGAGATCACTATCTGAGTCAAAATCAAGAGCCAAGCCACCCAGGTGCCCCCCCCCCCGCTTCCCTTTCTATTAAGAATTGAAGGTAGTAGCACTCACTGTTGATTTGTGTAACCTCTTGCTCATTCCCTGTAGACTTGTATGGTTCTCAGCCAAGGGGCTTGCTCCCTTCCTCCAAGCTAAATTCTAGAAGGAATTTGAATTTTGGTAGGAAGGACAAAGGACTAAAAGCAATTGGCATGGGTCCAATGGCAGTGCCCTGGAAAAGACTCTGCTTAGCGTCTCTGAACGCTGTCCTGATGAACTTGCCTTTCTGGAGGAGTGAGCAGCGAAATCTTTCTTGGTACTGTAAGTGCTTCTACATTTTTGTCATTTGCTATTCTTTCTTAAAAAGTTTAGCAGGAGCTGGTTTTTGTGGCTTTCAACCAATGAGGGTTAGCGTCGGCACTTTCTTTCCTCTGTTACAACTTCCAGCCACAGCGTTAGAGGTGGAAAGGTTCAAACTGAGCATCATTGTGGAACTGTGCAGGAAGCAGGGGTGACATCACAGGTATTTTGCACAACGCTGGTTTCAGTGCAGTTGATTTTCGGAAAAGCAAAGTCCACAAAGAGGCCAGGGGAGAGAACAAAAAGAGCAGTCTGTTCACAAAGGAACAACGCCCCTCCTAACACCCATAACAATTAACAGTAAGACAGATCTCAGCAGACGTCATTAGGAATGCATCTCAGGCAAAACGCCGACAATTTCTAATTTCACTTGCCAGGAAAAAAACCCATTTGTCCCCAGAAGTTTTGTGTCAGGCATCTGAGCTGGAAACGAATGGGGGTATTGTTGTTGCTGTTACTTCCTGGGTTAGGTAACCAGGAAGACAATAGCTATTGGACCCCTGCGCTGGAGTGACCCCTTTCCTCCTTCTGTTGACTGACCACTCAAATTGTGCTGCAGGGACAAATCTAGAGGGGCTCTAACTACAGACCGTGGTTGCTGCCCTTGATTTCACAAGCACTAAAAGACCTGAGATGAAAGGTCCACTAAAGGACCTGAGATTTTATAAGAAGAAAATTTATAATCTAGTCTTTTTTTTAAAAAAAATGACAAAAAATTCCCAGGATTTTTAAATAACGTAATCCCACAAAGTATGTGTTACCAATAAAAATCAAACGTAGTGCAGAGATGAGGAATCTTGAAAAACCACTCCACTGGATCTGATAAGAGAAAAGCTTTAGCAGAAGGATGGGGACAGAACACATTTATATGAGGGACAGAAGGGAATGGGAGAATAGAAAATAGAGGTTTGGCAAGGAAAAGAAGAGGAAATGTAGAAAAGTAGCTGAAAGAGTCGGGGCGCCTGGGTGGCTCAGTTGGTTAAGCGGCTGCCTTCGGCTCAGGTCATGATCCTGGGGTCCTGGGATCGAGCCCCACATCTGGCTCCCTGCTCAGCAGAGAGTCTGCCTCTCCCTCTCCCTCTGCCTGCCACTCTGCCTATTTGTGCTCTCTCTTTCTCTGTCAAATAAATAAATAAAATCTTAAAAAAAAAAAAAAAGAAAAGTAGCTGAAAGAGTCAGTTCGTTGTTTTTAAGCTGCTGAAGAGGAAGAGGACTGATGTGGCTGGCTTCTGGGCATGCTGCCTGTGCAGTCACACGGGCCTCTGTGCTCAGAAGGGCCCTGCACCTGGTTGAATGCTCTGCTGTCACTGTCTTGAAATTCTTAGCATCTTTTGAACCAGGACCCTGCATTTTCATTTTGCACGGTCACCTCAAATTATGAAAATGCTCAGAAAGGTATAACACACTAGTGTTGGCTGATTAATGTCCCCCAAAAATGTGTACATCCTAATCCCCCAAACCTGTGAATGTGTTACCCTATATGGCAACACCATGTGATTAAGAATTTTGGGGACTGGCACCCACCCACGTACCCAATAAACAAGCTCTGTCTCCAGAAAAATTATTAAAGAAAGAATTTTGAGGTGGGGAGATCATCCTGGATTATCTGGGTGGGCCCTATGTAATCACAGGGGTCTTTATGAGAAGGAGACAGTAGAGTTAGGGTCGGCAAGAGAAGGCATGTGACAATGGAAGCCGAGGGAGTGAAGATGTGACAGTGTGGTGCACAGTTATGAGCTAAGGAATGCAGGTGGCTTCTAGAAGCTGGGAAAAGCAAGGAAACATATTGTCCCCTAAAGTCCTTAGAAGATGCAGCCCTGCTGATCTAATTTGGACTTCTGATCTTCAGAACTTCAGACCCCTAAGATAATAAATTTGTTTTGTTTAAAGCCACTAAATTTATGGTAATTTGTTATAGAAGCAATGGGAATCTAATACACACTGCATATATGTAAGCTGATGTATTGCTAGTTTTCTAGAAATCAAGGCTATTACTATAAATAACAGCTATCATTGATTGAACACTTCCTTTGTGCTAGGCACCATACTAAGCCTTTTATGTATATAATCTTACGTAATCCTAAAACAGTGTTTGAGGTGGGTGTTATACACTTACAGATGAACAAATGGAGACTCACAGAGGTTAAGTAACTTCAGTAAGTCTGGAGCCACGTAATAATCTAGGATGTTTTAGAGGTGGGAGCTGAAGCCAGTCTGTATCACTCCAGGAGCTTCTGTGTGTTTATCCCCATTCCTATACATTATTATAAACTTTTGCGTTTGTTCCCATTCTTCAACGTGCATCATGTTTGCCTCAACAGAGGAGTGGGAATGGGACGAGGAAGAGGATGACATCCACGGCTGCGGGTATGAAATGAAAGAGGAGCCCGAGCCACCTGTCCAGGTCGCAGGTGGCTTAATAAGGCAGTTGCGGTAGATCTGAGGCTACAGAACACTGAATGAGACAAAGAAAGCGCTCTGGCTCGGAAGCCGAAGATCCCGCAGCGCCCGTTCCTAATTTGCCTAGGTTCCGGGCGCATCCTGGAGCCTCCCGGCTGGGCGGCGTCAGGGAACCACCACACGGGGATAACCCCCCGCCCGGTTTCCAGGAGCAACTGTCCGGGGAGGGGGCGCGGCTCGGCGGCCCGCGGAGGGGAGGGAGCCCCACACGCACCTCCTCTTGTTTTGGAGGCCCGCGTGGTCCTGCCTCATTGGCCGCCGTGGAGCCCGAGGCCCCCGGGGGAGGCGGAGCGGCCTCCGCTGCTGTAGTTCCCGGGTTCTCCCGGCCGCCGGCCCCGCCTTCCGGCAGGAGGCCGGCTCGCGGCCGCGCGGGGACCACAACTCCCACAAGGCGCCGCGCTCGGAGGGGGCGTGGCCGGGGCAAGGGGAAGCCAGGGGCGGGGCCGCCTAGGGGATGAAGTGGGGGCGCTCGGCTCTCCAGCCTCACTCGCAGCTGCCGGGAGCTGGGGAGAGTGGGCCCCGCCTCCGGACGGGCGTGCAGACCTCTGACCCTGGAGTCTCTCAGCCGCCGGGAACCGTCCGCTTGGGTCGTCACCCGGGCCTCCCGCCGTTCCCCGGCCCCGAGGGGCCCGGCCGGCCGCGGTGGGGGGAGAGGTCAGCATGAGCCGGGGGGCCCGGCGGGCCGGCGCCGGGCAGGGGGCGGCGGCCGCAGTGCAGCTGCTGGTCACCCTGAGCTTCCTCCCGAGCGTCGTCGAGGCCCAGGTGAGCCCGAGTGATGGCGGGGCGGGGACGCCCGGCCGAACGCCAGCGGTAGCGGCGAACGGGCCGCAGCCGGGGCGCGGGGAGGGCTGGGGCCGGACCCCGAGGGGCTTCTGGCGAGCGGGAAGGGCTGGGGGCTGGAACCCGAACCGTCACGTCCAGGAAATGTCTGCGAACCGCTTGCGGTGTGTGCGGGGATGGCGACGCTCGTGGGGCGATGGCAGTAAAAAGAGGAAGATGGTGACGGTCCCCTGAGGTGTTTTCGCTTTTCTTTCTGATTTTTTAAGCGGCTGGGAGTGTGGCGGGAGATGAGATGGGAATGAAAACGTCATCAGCTGTTTGGGGAAGGGAACGCGCGGTAGAAAGGGTGAAGCCCTCCCCTTCAACGGGGAGGGAGGGGAGGTGGATCCCCGCGCCCCGCAAAAGTGGAGTGGGTAGGGAGGGGGACAAGACTTAACTTCCTTGAACTTTTGGACTAGAGAGCCCCTCGGCTTCTACCCTTGCTCTAGCATCTTTCCTTGCTTGGGACTGCTGTATTTTTTACCCAACTTGTGGCATCTCCAGGTGAGCCCAAGTAAGAAACTGGTGGGGGGGGGGCTGTGTCTGGCCTTACAAGGCCTATCAGTAATGAGGTGATGGCTGGAGAGTAAGTTAGAATTTAGGGGCTGCCTTTGTGAAACCTTTATTACCGAAGTGTTCTCACTACGCTGGAAATCGAGGGTTTTGGAAACCAGAGCCTTTGCCTTGCGAGCCCTGTTTGCTTCTTTCTACGAAGAATTTGAATAGCCTGCCAGGTGCTGCTATGCCTTGTCTGCACCTGCTACAAAGTGGCAAAACTGCTGAGAGAGAGAGAGAGAGAGAGAGAGAGAGAGGTGTCTCAGGTGGCTCGATAATGAGGGGAGATGTCATTTGAAGCAATTAATGCTCATTGCTGAGAAAAGCTGAAGCTACGAGTGTAACCGTGTAAACGTGTTTTTCTGACTTTATTCACATACTTTTTTTCATGGCGTTACAGTGTTGTGCACTAAATCCCAGAAAGCCTGAATATCTTATTTGTGTGAATATTTTTTTAAATGAATGATTTGGTTAAAAAAAAAAAAAGGGGCAGACTTGGTTTCGGTGTTGGTGAGCATGTTAAAAATGCAGATTCTCCGGCCCCCCTGCCACATGTTCTGATTTAGTGGATCTGGATGCGACCCAGGGATCAGCAATTTTAAACAGACCTTGTTTGTAAGTAACTGTAATGCAGTTATCCTCTGAACTACCTTTTGAACCCTGCTTAGAAAACACTGAAATAGTGGAAATCTGGAAATCTTCTAAAAAGTAAATTTTCCAAATTGTCTTTAGCAAATTGTTTTCTAGCTACTGGTTGGGTGATAGTGTTTGGGTGGAATATACATTTAGATATTTTTCTAAAAGGAGATTTTTCTCATTTTTTCTTTTTATAGCCTATATTAATTGTATACTTTGTCATCAATCTGGAAACTTCAGGTTTTTTCATCTACTAATTACATGTGTTACTGTTTTATAATTGCATGTGTACTTTTCTTTTATCCCAAAGAATATATGTCATTTTATCATGTCCAAGTGAATACATATAGTTCCAAAATTAAAGATTTGTGCATATTCAAAGTAGCGTTGTGCCAAACAGTCCTCAAAAATGGATACATTTGGTTTTTGTTTCCAGTGGTATTTTCTAATATAGTGTTGGAGCATATTATAGATAGTATTTTAATTCCAACATGTTTAAATATATATTATCTCATTTTATTGGATCTGTCTCCCAGAAGTGCGCCTATTGAGGTAACTGAAGTTCAAAAAGCTTACATGACTAATATCACTTCTTAAGTGCACAAGATTAAACTGGAGCCCTAGTAGGCCCTCTTTTCTTCTGTACAGTACATCTCAGCATGCTTGCTTCTTTAGGGTATTAAAATAAAGCAGAGGGAGACCCAGGAAAATAAAGTGGAAATAAGATAGTTCTTTCACTTCTCTTATGTATACTAAATTGGAAGAGGGGGGGGGAAGCCCAGTAAAGCATAAAGGGAATAATTAGATTTTTTTTTAAATATGTCCATTTATAAGAAATCATTTAAGGAAAGGAATACATTGAATATGTCTCCTTGGAATGAAAGCATAAAGTTATTTTTGAGCACATAAAATGATAGGCATTTGTATATCTCAAACCCCTTTTTCTTTCTTTTTTTTTTTTTTAAGATTTTTATGTGAGGGGCGCCTGGGTGGCTCAGTTGGTTAAGCGACTGTCTTCGGCTCGGGTCATGATCCTGGAGTCCCGGGATCGAGTCCCGCATCGGGCTCCCTGCTCGGCAGGGAGTCTGCTTCTCCCTCTGACCTTCCTCCCTCTCATGCTCTCTGTCTCTCATTCTCTCTGTCTCAAATAAATAAAAATAAAAATCTTTAAAAAAAAAAAAGATTTTATGTGAGACAGAGCATGAGCTGGTGGGGGGCGGGAGGGGGAGGTGGGGAGCAGAGGGAGAACAACTTGGGGCTTGATCCCAGGAATCAGAGATCATGACCTGAGCCAAAGTCAGATAGATGTTTAACCAACTGAGCGACCCAGGCACCCTTCATACCCCGTTTTCTTATAAATTAAATGCAAATGTGCTTTGTAGTCTGGGAAGCACTACAAAGGAAAGACATAGTGAATATAAGTGGTATGACAAGTTAATCTTCCTATAAAGAAGTAATTTTAGTCAGATGTATTTTTAAGTCTTTCTAAATGCATCTGAGGTGGCATGAAATCAGAGAATACATGGAGTCCCCCTGTTCCCAGTGGAAAGCTGATCTTGAGACTCAAATAGTGTTGTTCCAGTCCATTACCCAGAGGATTTTCCCCCAACCCTGAAGATCTTGACTTTCTGCTGTAATAGCTCCTTGGTGTGGTATGGACAAGAAATAAAGGCTCAGTGTGTGCCCAAAGAGAGAAAACTAAAAGGAGACCCCACCATAAAGCTTGAACTCCAAAGAGCTACATCCTCAGTATGAGAAATGAGTCCTACCAGGAATAAGGGAAAAGTAAGAAACTTGCTAGGGAAGGGGGAAAAGACTCCCTTGAGAATCTATAACCATGAGCCAGCTCTTACAAAGGTTTGCAGGCCAAATTCATGCCACCTATGCTAGGAAAAGCTTCAAGTGGAAAATTTATTTTGTAGCAGACCTAGGTGGGTATGCCCCCAGTTTACTGGTAAGAGCGAATATCCATCCCCTCTGGAGGAATTTATTTTCAACCCAGGCCCTAAAGAACTCTTGAAGATCTAGTGCCGAGGAGAATAAGCAGCTAATAGTCAAAAATCACCAAACACTAGGCACCATGAATGAGGTACTAGAAATATAGACTATGGAAAAAGACCTGTGATGACCTTAGATTCTGAAAATATCGGAGCTAATTTAAACACATTAAACATAGTAAATTTAAATACAAAGGGGTGGCTGGCAGAGACAGAGACCTTGACCTGAAAGTATGGAAAGGGAACAAGAGATTTTAAAGAATGATAAAAAAAAAAAAAATTAAAACATAATGTGATGGGATTTCTAGAGCTGAAATTAAAAACTGAATGGATGGATTAGATAGCTGATTACATCCAGCAGAAGAAATGATTATGAATCAGGCAACCATTTTATGTCTTTTTCTACTTAATTTTCCAACACTTTCCCTTTTCTTAGCTTCGTACTTCACTAACAAAATTGGAGTAATCAATGTAATCCATGTGTTTACCTATTAGTCTCTGTACGCACACATCATGACTTCCAAAGGATTACCGTAGATGAACTGTGAACTCTTATCAAAGGCTAATCCCTCTCTCGTATATTAGGTCCCATTCCTTCTGTCAAGGACATGGCTCAAGCAAATCTTCCCTTTCTCTCCTGGATCATTAATTTTTCCTTGTCTGATGGACTGGTACTGTCATCCTAAAACATAGTGTTAATTCTAGTTTACAGTTCTCTCTTGATCCGCCCATCTCTTCCTGGCTCCGCTCCATTTTTCTCTCCTCCTCTATAGAGAAACTCCTCAAATGAATTATCCTTATTCCTTCCATTCTGGTCCTCTCTTCAGCCTACTCCAGTCAGACTTTTGCCCCTACCACTCCTCAGAAACTGCTCTGGTCAAGGTCACTAATGTCTTCCTTGTCGTTAAAGCCAATAGTTTTGAAACCTTAGCTTTATCTATAGACAGCATTTTTCCCCACAGTTCATCACTTACTCTCCTTGAAATACTTTTTTCTTTGGGCTTCCAGGATGTACTTTTCTGATTTTTGTCTTGTCTTTCAGGTCTTTCTGGTATCCTTTGCTTGTTTCTCCTCTTTCAACCCCACCCATGACCACTGGGATGGGGAGAGGGGTGCTAGAGATTGAGCTCTGTAAAAGCTCTTAAAACAAGATTGATGAGTTTCCAGGTGGGTGAATACAGACCCTTGCTGGGAGGGGGGCTCGGAGGCAGGGAAGGTCTATACTTGCACCCCCCAGTACCTTGCCCTATGCCCCTATCTATCCTATTTGGCACTTCCTGAGTTGTGTCCTTTACAATAAACCAGAAAACAAGTGTTTCCCTGGTTCTGTAAGCCATTGCAAATTACTGAACTTGAGAAGATAGTCGTGGGAACCCCCAATTTATAGCTGGTCAGTCACAAGTACAGGTGGCTTGGAACTTTGGACTGATACCTAAAATGGGGACAGTCTTTGTGACTGAGCCCTTAATTTGTGAGGTCTGCTCTAACTCCAGATGGTATCAGAACTGAATTGGGCACCCAGTTGGTGTTGGAGAGTTGGAGAATTGGTTGATGTGAGAAAAGCCAAAGTCTTATAATGGTCTCCTATTTTTCCTTTTCACCTACTACGGAGTCCTCATTGTTCCTCAGAAACTTTGGGCCAGCTGACTGCCTCAGGGCATTTATATTTTGTGTTTCCAAAGTCTGGAGTGCTTTCCCCTCACTCTCCCAAATTGTGTGGCTTGTTCCTTTTCCTCCTTCAAGTATTGCCAAAATTTCACGAGACCTTTTGTAACTCTCCTTTTAAAAATAGTAGCAGCTCAGTCCTGCAATGCCTGTCTGCATTCCCTGGTTTTCCTATTACTTTATTACCATTTGACAGACTTTACTTGGCTCATTCTTTTTTTTTTTCTTTCCTATGAGAATGTAAGCTCATGGAGGGCACAGATTTTTGTCTGTTTTTTTTTTTTCTTTCTTTCTTTCTTTCTACTACTTCTGCACTCCCAGCAGTTAGAACAGTGCAAGGCTTATATTAGGTAGATCCTCAAGTATGTTGAATGAATGAATGAATGAATGAGTGAATCAATAAATGAATGGAAAATAAAAGCAAATGAATTATTCAGAATGAAGCTCAGAGAAATAATGGGATAGTAAATTTTAAAGAGAGCTTAAGAGACATGGTCTAATATAATATGTCTGGTTGGAGTTCCAGAAGAATGTACTAGAATAGGGAACAAGTATCGATTCCTGCATGTTAATAGGAAAAAGACAACCCAGTAGAAAAATGAAAAAAAGACAGGTATTTCACACAAGAAGAAATACAAATGTCTTATAGAACATAAAACATTATACTTCATTAGTACAAAAATCAGATACCCTTTCATGCTTACTAGATTGGCAAAAATTTAAAAAAATATCAAATATTGGTAAGGATAGGATTTAGCAGTAACTTCTGTCTGCTGTTGGTAGGATTATAAATTGATATACCTATTTTGAAAATGAGCTATAGTAATTCCACTTGTAAGCATATAAGGTGGAGAAACTCTTACACACACACACACACACACACACACATATATGGAGATAATGAAAAATACATTTGTGTAGCATTATTCTTTAACTTAATCTGGAAACAACCGAAGTACGGATTGCATTAGTTTCCTCTTGCTGCTGTAACAAATTGCTACAAATTTAGTGGCTTAAAACAATACAAATTTATGATCACATAATGCTGTATGTAGGCCAGGAGTCTGCAGATGGGTTTTACAGGGATAAAACCAAGATATCAACAAGGCTGCATTTCTTCTGGAGGCTCTAGGGGAGAATCATTCCTTCCCTTTTCCAAGCTTCTAGAGGCTGCTTTGTTCCTGGCGTATGTCCTCTTCCCGTCTTAAAAGCCAGTAATGTAGCATCTTCCAGTCTGACTCTGACACTTGTCTTCCTCTTACAAGGATCTTAGTGTTGAGTCCACTTAAATAATCCAGTATAATCTTAGCATCTCAAGATCCTTAATCACATCTGCAGAGTCACTAATGCTGTGTACAGTAACATATTCACAGGCTTCAGGAATTAGGGCATGGATATCTTTGGGGGGCATTATTTTGCCTACCTTACAGGTCAATAATAGAACAAATACATTGTGATATTTTCATATAATGCAACATTTATAGCAGGGTAAAATGAGCATAAAACTCATTATGGTGGGCAGCTGTCAAAATATTAGCAAAAGAAGTATATCACAATATAGTTCACACAATAGATGCCATTAATATTAAGGTTCAAAAACAAACCCTCTATATTGTTTAGGGATATATCATTTGTGATGAAATTAGAAGGAAAAGTAAAGAAATTAACAAAAATAATTCTACCTCCAGGGGGAGGGAGATGGCTATAATTAGAAAGGGACTTGAAAGATAATAGCCGTATTCTATTATTTTTATTTTTTATTTTATTTTTTATTTTTTTTAAAGATTTTATTTATTTATTTGACAGAGAGAGACACAGCGAGAGAGGGAACACAAGCAGGGGGAGTGGGAGAGGGAGAAGCAGGCTTCCCGTGGAGCAGGGAGCCTGATGCGGGGCTCGATCCCAGGACCCTGGGATCATGACCTGAGCCGAAGGCAGACGCTTAACGACTGAGCCACCCAGGCGCCCCTATTTTTAAAGATTATTTATTTTAGAAAGAGGTGGGGTAGGGAGGGTGCGAGAAGCAGGTTCCTTGCTGAGCAGGGAGCCTGAAGGGACAGGCTGAGGCTCCATCCCAAGACCCTGAGATCATGAGCTGAGCTGAAACCAAGAGTCAGATGCTCAACCAGTGAGGCACCCAGGCACCCCTCTATTTCTGTTTTTAAAAATGTTGGTGATATGCAGGTTTTTGTCTTAGTAGTTGTCTTTAAGAGTTAGAAATAAACATGATAATTTTGTATACCTTACCCCAGCCTCTACCACAATTAAAATATTTTTAAAAACCCCAAAATATGGTGGTTTACTAAAAAGCAACAATTTAAGAAAAATTTGTAAGAAAGAGCAATCACTGGATAAAATATTTTTAAAACCTAAAAAGTTGTCAGTTGGTGTTTCTACTGCCCCCACCCCCTGCAATTACTTAGAATTTGAAGTTTTATAAATAGTAAGCTAGAGAAATGGAATGAAATTCAATAGAGTTAGTGACAGGATCTTAGTAACTAGGATCGTAAAGCATCTGGAATTCTAGAGCCAAAATTGTTGTTAACGATCCTTTGTTCTTTAAAGATAATATACCTCTGACTCTTTATGGTGTAGGGAGTTTGGGAACACATTTGCATTCCTAGGGGAAAAGCATGAGAAAGTAACAACTGGGAAGTTCTGGTTTCCATTTTCTGATCATCTTTGCATAAATTCCTCCAATGGATCATACAAATGATCTTTAACAACATAGGAATTTTTTTTGTTTTTAAATTTTAATTTTAATTGAGATAATTGTAAGTTCCATTAAGTTGTAAGAAATAATACCAAAAAAAAAAAAAAAAAGCCACCTACACTGTATCTGGTTTTCCCCAACAGTACTATTTTGCATACATACAGTGCAATATTATCACCAGGTCATTGACATTGATGTACTCTGCTGATCTTATTCAGCTTCCCTCTAGTCTCACTTGTGTCTGTATGTATTCTGTTCACTTTTATCACACGTTTAGGTTTGTGTATCCACCACCATAGTCAAGATACTGAACAATTTAATCACCACAAGGATCCTTCTTCTTGCCCTTAAGAAAGTTAGTTTTTTTAGAGAGGGAGTGGTGAGGGGCAAAGAAAGAGGGAGAGAGAGAATCTCAGACTCTCCACTGAGCACGGAGCCCATCATAGGGCTCAGTCTCACAACCCTGAGATCGTGACTTGAGCCGAAACCAAGAGTCAGAAGCTCAACTGACTGAGCCACCTAGGTGCCCCCCTCTTGCCTTTTTAAAACCGCACTTACCTCCTTTTTACCCTCCCCCCCCCCCACTCCAACTCCTATCCCTACTCCAGTCCTTAAGCCCTGGCAACCAATAAACTGTTCTCCATTTCAAAAATGTTGTATAAATGAAATCCCATAAGCATGTACCTTTTGGGGTTGGCTTTTTTCACTCAGCCTGATTCCCTGAAGATTCATCCAAGATGTGGATGTCAGTGAGTCCCATTTTTAAGTTTAGCTGAAGAATGTTTTATGGAAGTTTTGGATTCTGAACTCATTTTGTAAACATCAATTTCTGTTCAGTTAATGTATACTTTGAGTAGTCGATAAAGCATGCATTTTTAAGTGCGATTGACTTGGGACTAAGTCTCATTTCTACTTTGGAAAAGTTATTTTAACCATGTTAAGCCTTAATTCTCTTATGTGTAAAATGAGGATAATAATACCTATTTCATAGAATATTTCAAGAATAAATGAGGTAACATAATGTTCTTATCACTATGCCTATCACATAAGTGTTTCATAAATGGCAGTAGAAAAGAAAGGTAGTGTTACTACAGCAATATTATTACAGTCTATGACTTTTAGGTTAGTCTTGGAAGAAATTGCTTTAGCATTCCGCCTACTTCTCGGATTTTATGTATGTTTGGGGAAGGGAAGGAACATTCAATATATTTCTCTAGCCACTCAACAATAATGCTTAGTTCTTCAGAATAGGTATATCTAATCCTTATATTGTTTTTTACTTAATCGGCCATGGTAAAAATAAATGATTGCTTTAATGTTATGTATCTTTTTTTATAAAGGATTTTATTTATTAGAGAGCAAATGGGAGAGTGGTAGAGAGAGGGAGAAGCAGACTCCCCGCTGAGCAGGGAGCCTGACAGGGGGCTCGATCCCAGGACCTTGGGATCACGACCTGAGCTGAAGGCAGAGGCTTAACTGACTGAGCCACCTAGGCACCCCTTTAATGTTATGTATCTTAACAAAGACTACTTACCTTGAATGAATAAATTATCTTTTTATATAATAGTACAGATTTGTTAAGCTTGGAATATCTATAATTTACATATTTTAAATTTTATATATATTTCCCCCCCTAGGTCACCGGAGTCCTGGATGATTGCCTGTGCGATATTGATAGCATTGATAACTTTAACACCTTCAAAATCTTCCCCAAAATAAAAAAATTGCAAGAGCGAGACTACTTCCGTTATTACAAGGTATAGTTACAATTTTTGATTCCGTTAGTAGCAAAGATTTTTACATAGCTGTTTACAGATGTGACTTTTATGACCCTTTTGAAAACCCGTTTTGACTTCTCAGCACCCTCTGCGCTTTTTGTCAGTGGACTATATTAAGTACTGTAGTGAAACCTGATCATCTTTTTGAACACTAAGAACCTGAACCCTCTTCTTATGTTTGGGGAATTCCTCATCTTTCAGTTTTGGTTTTGAGACAGAGACTCCTTCCACAGAAGCTGGAAATGCTGCAGACTTACTCGTCCGCCTTCGTTGTAACTTAGGCTCCGCCCTCTAGAGCCCTCCCCAAGCTCTGTGTTGTGCTGATGGCCCTGGCCTGTGTTAGCGCTGTTCACAGTGTAAGCACCGCAGCAGCAGGCATTTCCCGGGGAGCTCACTGGAAGGGCTGCCAGACCAGGCTGAGGGTACAAGCAGAACACCTTTCCTAGTAATACTGCGGAGTAGGTTCTTAAATCGAACCATCTACTCTAGACCTTTACAAAATAAAAAACCAATGATAGTTTAAAGGTAGCACCAATAAGGCAATATTCAAAAGTGCAGTATTTTAAATTGAACAACAGTATTTTAAAGCAGCTGTTATGCTTTGCTGTGCTCTTGCTCTCAATATTCAAATGGGTTTATAATTTCTTTGATTTTCATTTTTAGTTTATTTTAAAAACTGAGCATGGTTTTCTTTTTTATCCTGATTCTATATAGCTGTCTTAGTCTTTAAATATTTCTGAGGATAAAAAATAATTAGAGCAGGAACTAATGGCCATTCTTTTTATGTCACCACGAAAATTTTGGCACAGTTTCCCATATTTTGCAACACTTTATACAGGTGTCAAATTTCTGGGAGAAATTTGTCTCAAATTTCTGGAAAAACACTTATACAGGTGTCTAATTGGTCTAATTGACCAAAAGAGGGAAAGACACTTTGGTTAACAATCTTATTTGCATAAATATATGGGGGGAGTGATTGTTTCTCAAAGGAATATCAGGGGACATTACAGAAGAAGGAAAAATGAAAGTTGGATAGGCAAAAATAACAGTGTTCTAAGAAAATGTTCTAACCAATTTGATGAAATTACTCTATATGTAATGAGGGTATCCTCATACTTGCCCAACGGAGGGTAATGCAGTGATCTAGTTAATGCATTTGTCTCCAAGTCCAGGATATTCAGGTGACATCTATTCCTTTTCTAGTTCTGCCAACCTATAAATTAAACAAAAAGGACATTTAACCGCCACCAGTATACTCTCCATACACTAGTGGCAGAAAAGGAAAGCAAAGAGAATAGGTTCATTTTAAACATGTGCATACATACTTATGAGTGAGCAAGCAAGGGTACAGAGGTAGAAGCAACAGTCTACCCCTGTCACCTGCTCAGTTGGCTGCTGTAGTTGGTATTTACAATTTCTTGTACTATCCATTCCGTTCCTTTATTCACCAAATATTTATTGAATGATTACTTTGCAGTAGGTGCTATTCTTTTTTTTTTTTTAAGATTTTGTTTATTTGTCAGAGAGAGAGAAAGAGAGCACAAGCAGGGGGAGCGGCAGGCAGAGGGAGAAGCAGACTTGCCGCTGAGCAAGACTAGATCCCAGGACCCTGGGATCATGACCTGAGCTGAAGGCAGATGCTTAACCAACTAAGCCACCCAGGCGTCCTGCAGTAGGCACTATTCTAAGTTCTGTGGATACAATAGTGAATAACACAAAGACTGAGTTCATGAAACTTTTATTCTGATTAGGAAGGCAAACAATAAACAATAAAATATAATTTCAGATGGTTATAAGATAAGTGCTATGGAGAAAAATAAAGTAGGAGATAGAAAGAGTAAGTTAATGGGGTGGGGAAGGTAGGTAGCTTTATTTTTATTTTAAAGCTTTTATTTTTGAAGAAGATGATCAGGAAAGGAAGATATTCATGCTCTGCCATTTGAGTAAAGACCTACATAATGTGAAAGCCATGACAAGACATGGAAAGAGAACATTCCAGGGAAGGGGAGTAGAACCTCAGGTATAAAGGTCTTGAATGCAGGCATAAAGGTTTAGAGTGTTTGAGGAATAAGAAGACTGGTATAGCTGGAGCAAAGTGAGTGAGATATGGAGAGTTGGAAAGGTAGGTAGGAGCCAGATTAAAAAAAAAAAATTATTATGGGCCTTGTTCAGCACATAAGGATGTTGAATTTTAGTGTAAGTTGATAAGCTTTTGGTGGGATTTGTACAAAATAGACTGTCAGGGTGTGAGACAGGAAATAGAGAAACCATGTAGGAGGTTTTTGCGTGAGACCAGATGGAAGGGGATAGGGGTTTGGAATAGGGCAGTAGAGTTGGAAGAAGTAAAAAGTGAGCAAATGATCATCGTATGTAAGAGGTAACACCAACAAACTTGTCTGATGGAGTGAATGTAAGCTGTGAGAGTAGAAGTGAAATCAAAGATGATGTGGTGTTTTGAGCATATTACAAAAAAAATGTATCCTGACCAAGTTAATCTTATTCTAAGAATGCAAGGACAAGGCTTTTAGGTCTTCAACACAATTCAACACGCGTTCCTAATTTTTAAAAAATTTAATAGGAATGATGGATCCGTCCTTAACGTGATAATTTTAATCCTAACATTAGCATGCCACCATCTTACTTTTTGGGAAATAGTAGAGGAATTCTCACTTAGGTGAGGGACCAAGACAAGGGTACCCACTCTCTTCTTTACTGCTGGAGGTATTAGTATACCAAACGAGAAAAAAGCAACTAGAGACACAAACATTTTTGAAGAATAAGTAAAACTATCTCCATTTATGGATGACAAAAGTATACTAGAAAACTCAAATAATGAACAAAAATGATTAAAAAATACATTAAGATCACGAGCTATAAACTTAATATACAAAAATCCATATCTTCATAAATATAAACAATGAGAAGATACGACAGAAACTAAATCCCCATTTATATTAAGCAGTGAAAGAAGATGAAGTATATAGGAGTAAATGAATCAATAAATCTGCACAACCTAGAGGAGGAAAGCTTCAAAACACTACTGAGAGACACAAAGTAGGCTTCAAGAAATGGACTAATGTCTTTGTAGCATAAAGATGTTAATTCTCTCCACGTTAACGTATAAATTTAATGTGATCCTCATAAAAGTGCCAATAGTTTTCTACTGGAGCTGGACAAGTTGTTACAGCTTAAGTTCTCTGGGAAGCAGATTCTGAGACCATGGTTAGTGGGCAAGAGGTTAATTAGGCACCGCTCATGGCACTGACAGCTCGGGGAGTGAAAAGAGCAGAGGGAGAGGTAAAGCTGTGAGTCAGCCTCTGTGGAAACATCAGGTGACCCTCTGGGAGTCCTTCAGATGGGATGGCGCTCCAGAGGTGTCCCCACTTGCAGGAGAGGTCTGTTCCTTTGCAGCCCTACATCAGTCATCTGATGAAGGCACCATTGGAAGGGGTGGTGTGACCTTGGGCAAAGTGGCTGTCTTCAGCTGAGGTTGGCTGCCTCATTTCCAGAACTTCAGAAGCTAACGTTTCCGGAAGCTGGGGTAATAAACCCTTATTCCTGAAGGGTGATGTGAGCAGCACGTTAACAGTGTCCACTACAGTGTACTCCTTGCACTGTGTCGTAGTTTTCTACCAATGCATTACAAATTAGCCTAAAATGTAGCAACTTAAAACAGCACACTGAGAAGGTGGCATTTGGGGAAGATCTAAAGGTAGTAATAAAGCAAGTCATGTTGGTATCTGGTGCAAGCGATACTTCAGGCAGAGGGAACGGCAGGAGCAAAGGCCCTGAGACCACAGTGTGTCTCATGTATTTGAGGAACAACATGGAGGCCAGTGAAGAAGGGGCAGAGAGCAGAGGAGCCAGACCATGGAAGGCATTCTTGGCCATTACGGGGACTTGGATTTTGAACTGACCCAATTTTCAGAGGTACTGTATGTGGGGTGAGAAAGCAAGGAGTCAAGGATGATACCAGGGTTTTGGCCTGAGGATCTAGAATAATGGAGTTGCTGTTTACTGAGATGGCAATAAGAATGTCCTGTGGAGGGGCACCTGGGTCGCTCAGTCGTTAAGCATCTGCCTTCGGCTCAGGTCATGATCCCAGGGTTCCTTGCTCAGCGGGAAGCCTGCTTCTCCCTCTCCTACTCCCCTTGCTTGTGTTCCCTCTCTTGCTGTGTCTCTTTCTCTGTCAAATAAATAAATAAAATCTTAAAAAAAAAAAAAAAAAAAAAAGAATGTCCTGTGAAGATATCAGCGAGGCATTGGACATACAAGCCAGGAGCTCAAGGAACCTGCAGTTCCCAAACAAACATCCCATTGCCTGGAAATCTTCTCTAGGAAACTTCTAGCTGTACCCATTTTACATGTTACCAAAAGGAGGCATTCCCTGACAACTCCATAGTCAGAGTTGGTCACTCTCTCTCCTGTTGCCAGTCTCTATGTATTGTTGCCTATTCCTCGGTAATATAGGTGTTATTTACTTCATTTTATTCTATTTGTTGAGATGTCTATTTTTTTTTTTTTTTTTGAGCAAGTGTTCGTGTGCATGTGTCAGAGAGGGAGGGGCAGAGAGAGAGAGTGAGAGAGAGAATCCCAAGTAGCTTCCATACCCAGTGCAGAGCCCAAAGTGGGGCTCAGTCTCACGGTCCTGAGATCATGACCTGCGCCAAAATCAAGAGTCAGACACTTAACCGACTGAACCACTCAGGTGTCCCTATTGAGATGCCTATTATGTGTCCGAGGCACTGGGGATAAAATAATGAATAAGGCAACATCTCAATCCTGACAGTGGGGGATGCAGACAATAAACAAGTCAGGAATATTCAGGCAGTGGCAAGTGCTATAAAAAGCATATAAAACAGGGTGTGGGGTGCCTATTGGGTGCTACTTTGGTGAGTCTGGTCAGGGAAGGTCCTGGATCAGGTGAATGGAGCGGCTCATAAGATGTGCGACAGTATGGTCAAAGAGAAGGCTGCTGTAAAGGCCTCGAGACAGAAGAGAGAGCTCGGTGCCTGCTGTGTGGATGACAGATGGTAGTAGAAGCAGGGCACCTGGAGGGGTCTAGGCGAGAAGGGAAGCGGTGGCAGTGGAGGTGGTGGGAAGACGTGGATAACGAATTGCTTGCAGGAGATAGAAAAGGAGTTTGGGCTTCTGCTAAGTTCAATGTAAGACAATCCAGAGTTTTTAACTATGGTTAAAATGTCCTGATGGTGAAAATGGTCTGCCCCTGTCCTACGTTTACCCTCATCCCCCCGCTAAAAGGCGGCTAAACTGGTTTGTTTTTTTTTTTTTTTTCTCAGTTCTCACAGCTGTTCAAGCTGTATCACTTTATCCAAACCCATGTTTTTCCTAACATTCATCTGTCCTAAAATATTACCTCCTCAGAGGCCACCATCCACCAGCCCCCCCATTATTTTCCATCACAAACTCTGGATGTTCCTTTGTAGCACTTACCACGATTTGTAGTTGAACAAACATACAAACGTGTGATTTCTATTCCCTCCTGTAGGCTGTAAGTTCCGGGGGGGGAAAGTGCTTTTTTACATCTCTTTTTGTCCTAGACCCTACACAATGCCAGACAGATAGTGGGTGCTCAGTACACATTGAAGTGGGTGGATGCTCGAGAGAACTCTAATGAGTAAGGTAACAGTAAGGTGCTGACAGACATTAAAGTAGAATGCTTTCCAGGGTCTGCAGATGAGCAGTGTACTTGGACTTTATTCCTTTTTTGGAGTGTCAGAGGACTAATAACTTATTTTTTTAAAATTAATATTACATCTGGATGTCAGAAAAACTGCAGTTGTTTAAAATTCTGAACTCTATAGATGCCACAGGATAGGAAGCTTTTTTTTTTTTTTTATAAAGATTTTATTTATTTATTTGAGAGAAAGAGCACAAGAGGGGGGAGCGGGAGAGGGAGAAGCAGACTCCCTGCCGAGCAAGGAGCCCGATGCGGGACTCGATCCCGGGACTCCAGGATCATGACCTGAGCCGAAGGCAGTCGCCCAACCAACTGAGCCACCCAGGCGCCCAGGAAGCTTTTTCTTCTTCCTACCACCACGTCACTGGTGCCCCACACAGGGACACCTAGAGAGCATTGCAGAACCGTGCCACACACGTACTAATGTTAACCAATCTTTCTCTCAAGGTCAATCTGAAGAGACCATGTCCTTTCTGGGCAGAAGATGGCCATTGTTCAATAAAAGACTGCCATGTGGAGCCCTGTCCAGAGGTAAAATAAATTTAAAAAAATAGTAATAGGGAAAACATTGTTTCCTCTTGGGCTCTTAGATAAGTGTAAATTTGTATTTTAGGCCACTGTTGATGGATTTAAACTTGTCCTCAAATTCATATGCTGTCAGCTCTCTTTTTAAACAGATTACTGAAGATTTATTTTATACTCATCACCAAAATGGGTTTGAAGACACTCTTGTATCCAGTAGTATTGATTGGTTGTGGAAGTATAGTATGATTCTAAGACAAATGGAAAATTGGGGGCCTGTTCTAGGACTGGATCTACAATTGGCTAACTCTTATTTCATGCTTTATTGAATATGCATCTTGTTTCATAAGAAAAGTGATGCTACAGGGCCTTAAATTTTACATTTAGAGTGGGAATTAGAAGTGGGAAAAGTAGAGGAATTTCACTTGGTCTTGTTACATTAAAAAAAAAAAGCTATACTTACATTTTAGACTTTGTTTTTTGACATCTAGCATAATTAATTCTTCTTAAACAGTAATTCATTATAAGCTCTGTTTTCATTTCACTTTTTGCTTTTCTTACCTAATCAGTTAATCTAGTTATTCTTAAAAATGGGAAAAAACCATCTTAACCAATGCCCTTTCTAAAGGGACAATTAAAAAAATTCTCTTCATTTTCCTTTAAGAATAAAGTGGTTTTTTTTAACTTTTTAGTTTGAAATAATTTCAGACCTACAGAAAAATTGGGAGAATAATACCAACAGTCCTCACTTATTTTTGTTCAGATTCCCTAAATGTTTATCATGTTTGCTTTATTATTCTCTGTATATATACATGTTAATATTTTCTGAATTATTTGGGTATAAGTTACTAACATGGCGATACTTTACCCCTAATTACTTGAGTGTGTTTCCTTAAAAACAAGATTATTCTCTTATCTAACCACAACGTAATTAACAAAATCAGGAAATTAACATTAATTATAATACTAATGTCTGACTTATAGACTTTAGTCATACATTGCTAAATGACTTAATAACGTGCTAGATAGCTAAAAAAAAGTGTTAAAATATAGTGTTATATTCATTTCATGGGTACAAAATAGTGATTCAGTAGTTCCATATATTACTCAGTGCTCATCAAGATAAGTGTACTCTTAATCCACTTTGCCCCCTCCCACCTCCCTTCTGGTAACCATCTGTTTGTTCTGTATAGTTAAGAGTTTGTTCTTTGGTTTGTCTCTCTCTTTTTTGTTCTTTTGTTTGTTTTGCTCCTTAAATTCCACATATGAGTGAAATCGTATGGTAATTATCTTTCTCTGACTGGCTTATTTCCCTAAGCATTATACTCTCTAGATCCATCCATGTTTTTGCAAATGGCAGGACTTCATTCTTTTTTTATGGCTGAATAACATTACATTGTATGTGTATATACCACATCTTCTGTATCCATTCATCTATTGATGGATGCTTGGGCTGCTTCGTGGTTTCTCTATTGTAAATAATGATGCTATAAACATAGGGGTGCCTATATCCCTTCGAATTAGTGTTTTTGTATTCTTTGGGTAAGTACTTAGTAGTGCAATTGCTGCATCATAGGGTAGTTCTATTTTTAATTTTTCAAGGAATCTGCATGCTGTCTTCCACAGTGGCTGCACCAGTTTGCGTTCCCACCAACAGTGCACGAGTGTTCTTTTTTCTCCACATCCTCGCCAACACTTGTTTCTTGAGTTTTTGTGCTTAGTCATTCTAACAGATGTGAGGTGATAGCTCATTGTGTCTTTGATTTGCATTTCCCTGATGATGAGTGATGTTGAGCATCTTTTCATGTGTCTGTTGGCCATCTGGATGTCTTTGGAGAAATGTCTGTTCATGTCTTCTGCCCATTTTTTAATTGGATTATTTGGGATATTTTGGTGTTGAGTTGTATCAGTTCTTTATATAATTTGGATAGTAACCCTTAATTGGATATGTCATTTGCAAATATCTTCTCCCAGTTAGTAGGTTGTCTTTTAGTTTTATTGGTTGTTTCCTTTGCTGTGCAGAAGCTTTTTATTTTAGTGTAATCTCACTAGTTTATTTTTGCTGTTGTTTTACTTGCCTCAGGAGACTTACCTAGAAAGATATTGCTATGGTCAGTGTCAGAGAAATTACTGCCTGTGCTCTCTTCTAGGAATTTTATGGTGTTAGGTCTCACATTTAGGTCCCTAATCCATTTTGAATTTTTGTGTACAGTGCAAGAAGTCCAGTTTCATTCTTTTGCATGTAGCCATGCAGTTACCCTTTGTTGAGGAGACTGTCTTTTTCCCATTAAATATTCTTGCCTTCTTTGTCCAAGATTAATTGACAATAGCATCGTGGGTTTATTTCTGTGCTCTGTATTCTGTTCTGTTGATCTATGTGTCTGTTTTTGTGCCAGTACCATACCGTTTTGATTACTACAGATTTGTAATATAATTTGAAATCTGGAATTGTGTTCCCTCCAGTTTTGATTTTCTTTTTCAAGATTGCTTTGGCTATTTGGGGTCTTTTGTGGTTCTATACAAATTTTAGGATGTGTTTTTTCTAGTTCTATGAAAACTTAATATTTTGATAGGGATTGCATTAAATGTGTAACTTGCTTTGGGTAGTATAGACATTTTAACAATATTTGTTCTCGTAATCCATAAGCATGGAATGTCTTTCCATTTCTTTGTGTCATCTTCAGCTTCTTTCATCAGTGTTTTATAGTTTTCACAATCAGGTCTTTCACCTCTTTGCTAAGTTTATTTGTAGCTGTTTTATTATTTTTGGTGCAGTTGTAAGTGGGATTGTTTTCTTAATTTCTCTTTCCCCTGCTTCCTTATTAGTGTATAGAAATGTTACAGATTTTTGTACATTGATTTTATGTCCTGAGCTTTACTGAATTCATTTTTCAGGTCTAGTAGTTTTTTGGTGGAGTCTTTAGGGTTTTCTACATAGAATATCATGTCATCTGCAAATAGTGAAAGTTTGACTTCTTCCTTACCCATCTGGTTGCCTTTTACTCCTTTTTGTTGTCCGATTGCTGTGGCTAGGACATCTAGTACTATGTTGAATAAAAATGGTGAGAATAGATAGATATCCTTGTCCTTTTCCTGACCCTAGGGGAAAAGCTCTCAGTTTTTCCCCATTGAGTATAATATTAGCTATGGCCTTTATTATAGTTGAGGTAAGTTTCCTGTAAACCTATGTTGAGGGTTATTAATCATGCATGGATGCTGTATTTTATCAAATGCTTTTTCTGCATCTGTTGAAATGATCCTAAGGTTCTTTTCCTTTCTCTTACTGATATGATGTATCACACTGATTGATTTGCAAATACTGAACCACCTTTGCAACCGGGAATAAAGCCCACTTGATCATGGTGAATGATTTTTTTTAATGGATTGTTGGACTTGGTTTGCTAGTATTTTGTAGAGGATTTTTGCATCTATGTTCATCAAAGGTATTGGCCTGTACTTGTTTGTGTTTTTTTAATTAAAAAAAATCTTATTTTTTTTGGTAGTTCTGTTTATTAGTGGTGTCTTTATCTGGTTTCAGTATCAGGATAATGCTGGCCACAGAGAATGAATTTGGAAATTTTCCTTTCTCTTCTATTTTTTTTTTTTAATAGTTTGAGAAGAATAGGTATTAACTCTTTTTGGAATGTTTGGTAGAATTTGCCTATGAAGCTGTCTGGTCCTGGAGTTCTATTTGTTGGGAATTTTTTTTATTACTGATTCAATTTCATTGCTGGTTATCAGTCTGTTCAAATTTTCTTTCTTCCTGTTGCTCTTTTGGTATATTCTTTGTATCTAGGAATTTGTCCATTTCTTCTAGGTTGTCCAGTTTTTTGGTATATAATTTTTCATAATATTCTCCTACAGTTGCTTGTATTTTTGTGGTGTCTGTTGTTCTCTTTCATTTGCAATTTTGTTTGGGTCCTCTCTCTTTCTCTCTCTCTCCCTTTTTTTAAATGAGCCTGGCTAGAGGTTTATCAATTTTGTTGATCTTTTCTAGGAACTAGCTCCTGATTTCATAGATCTCTTCTATTTTGTTTTTAAAATTTTTCTGTATCATTTATTTGTGCTCTAATCTTTATTATTTCCTTCCTGCTGCTGGTTTTGGGTTTTGCTATTCTTTTTGCATCTCCTTTATGTGTAAATTTAGGTTGTTTGAGATTTTTTCCTGCTTCTTGAGGTAGGCCTGTATTGCTCTAAACTTCCCTCTTAGAACTACTTTTGCTGCATTCTCAAGATTTTGGACCATTGTGTTTTCATTTTCATTTGTTTCCATGTAATTTTTTACTTCTTCTTTGATGTCTTGGATGACTCATTCAGTGTTTAGTAGCATGTTATTTAACCTCTGTGAATTTGTGCTCTTTCCAGATTTTTTCTTGTGGTTGACTTCTAGTTTCATAGTGTTGTGGTCATAAAAGATGCATGGTATGACTTCAATCTTCTTCACTTTGTTGAGGCTTCTTTTCTGGGCTAATATGTGATCTGTTCTGGAGAATGTTCTGTGTGCCCTTGCAAAGAATATGTATCTGCTGTTTTAGGATGGAATGTTCTGAAAGTATCTTTTAAATCCATCTGGTCTGGTGTGTCATTCAAAGCCATTGTTTCTTTCTTCCTTTTTTTTTTTTTTTTTTTTAAGATTTTATTTATTCATTTGACAGAGACACAGCGAGAGAGGGAACACAAGCAGGGGGGAGTGGGAGAGGGATAAGCAGGCTTCCCACTGAGCAGGGAGCCCGATGTGGGGCTTGATCCTAGGGCCCTGGGATCATGACCTGAGCTGAAGGCAGATTGTATTTTTGCCTCGCTTAACGACTGAGCCACCCAGGCACCCCTAAAGCCATTGTTTCCCTGTTGATTTTCTGTTTGGACAATCTGTCCATTGACGTAAGAGGGGTGTTACAGTCCCCTATTGTTATTGTATTCCTATTGATTAGTTTTTTTGTTTGTTAACTGTTTTGTGTATTTGGGTGCTCCCGTGTTGTGTGCATAAATATTTATAATTGTTATTATCTTGTTGAATTCTCCCCTTCATTATTGTATAGTGTTCTTTGTCTCTTGTTACAGTCTTTGTTTTAAAGTCTATTTTGTTTGATATAAGTATTGCTACTCTGGCTTTCTTTTGACAGCCATTTGCATGACAAATCTTTCTTCATCCTCTTACTTTCAATCTGCAGTTGTTTTTAGGTTCGAAATGAGTCTCTTTTAGGCAGCATTATAGATGGATCTTGTTTTTTATCCACTCTATGTAATCCAGAGATATCCACCCTATGTCTTTGGATTAGAGCATCTAGTCCATTTACATTCAAAGTAGTTACTGATAGATACAAATTTATTACCAAGTTGTTACTTGCTTTGTGAATGTTTTGTAGTTTTTCTCTGATCCTTCTCTCGCTCTTTTTCATGGTGTTTTGGCTTTCTTTAGTGATATACTTGGATTCCTTTTTCTTTGTTCTTTTCATAACTATTGCTGGTTTTGATTTGTGGTTACCATTAGGTTTGTATGTAACATCTTCTGCATATAGCAGTCTATGTTAAGTTGATGGTTGCTTAAGTTTGAACCCATTCTTTATTCCTTTCTGCCCAACAGTTTAGGTATATGGTGTCATATTTTGTATTCTTTGTGAATGTCTTGACTGATATTTACAGATATACTTATTTTTACTGCTTTTATGTTTCCTACTTTTCATACTCTTACTTCCGGTTTTTTCTTTCCAAAGAGTCCCCTTTAACATTTGTTGTATGACTGGTGGTAGTAGTCATAAACTCCTTTAGTTTTTGTCTGGGAAACTCTTTATCTTTCCTTCTATTCTGAATGACAGCCTTGCTGGATAGAGTATTCTTGGCTGCAGATTTTTCTTTTTAGCACTTTCTTTTCAGCACTTTCTTTTCAGCCACTCTCTTCTGGCCTACAAAGCTTCTGCTAAAAAAAAAAAAAATCAGCCGATAGATTTATGCGGTTTCCCCTTGTATGTAACGGTTTTCTTTTCTCTTGCTGCTTTAAAAATTTTTTCTTAATCACTACTTTTTGCCATTTTAATTACTATGTGTCTTGGTATGGATCACCTTGGGTTGATTTTTGTCGGGGGATCTCTGTGCCTCCTGGATCTCAATATCCGTTTCCTTCCCCAGATTCAGGAAGTTTTTAGCTATTATTTTTTCAAATAAAATTTCTCTTTTCTTTTTCTTCTTCTTCTAGGATACCTATAATTTGAATGTCATTACACTTAATGGAGTCACTGAGTTCCCTAAGTCTGTTCTCATTTTGTATAATTTTTTTTCTCTCACATGCTCAGCTTGATTACTTTCCATTACTCTGTCTTCCAGGTTGTTAATTCATTTGCGTTTCCTCTAGCCTACTATTTATTCCATTTAATGTATTTTTATTTTCATTATTGTGTTCTTCATCTCTGATGTGTTCTTTTTTATTTCTGTGTTAAGGGTCTCACTGATGTCCTCCACTCTTTTCTCAAGTCCAGTGAGTATGTTTATGATCATTACTTTAAATTTTCTATCAGTCATACTACTTATATCCATTTCACTTTGGTCTCTTGTTATAATTTTTTTTTAATTAACATATAATGTATTATTTGTTTCAGGGGTACAGGTCTGTGATTCATCAGTCTTATGCAATTCATAGCGCTCACCATAGCACATACCCTCCCCGATGTCCCTCACCCAGCCACCCCATCCTTCCCACCTCCCTCCACTCCAGCAATCCTCAGTTACTTTCCTGAGATTAAGAGTCTCTTATGGTTTATCTCCCTCTCTGGTTTCATCTTGTTTCATTTTTCCCTCCCTTCCCCTATGATCCTTTGTCTTGTTTCTCAAATTCCTCATATCAGTGAGATCATATGATACTTGTCTTTCTCTGATTGACTTATTTTGCTTAGCATAATACCCTCTAGTTCCATCCATGTAGTTGCAAATGGCAAGATTTCTTTTTTTTGATGGCTGCATAATCCATTGTATGTATATATACCACATCATCTTTATCCATTCATCTGTTGATGGACATCTAGGCTCTTTCCATAGTTTGGCAATGTCCACAATAGCCAAAAACAGTGGGGTGTGTGTGCCCCTTCGGATCACTACATTTGTATCTTGGGGGTAAATACCCAGCAGTGCAACTGCTGAGCTGTAGGGTAGCTCTATTTTCAACTTTGTGAGGAACCTCTGTACTGTTTTCCAGAGTGGCTGCACCAGCTTTCTTGCTGTGGTTTTGTCCTGTTCTTTCATTTGGGACATACTCCTCATCTCATTTTGTCTAATTCTCTATATCTGTTTCTGTGTGTTAGCAAAGTCAGCTATGCGTCCTCTTTTTTTTTTTTTAAGATTTTATTTATTTATTTGAGAGAGAGAGAGAGAGCACTTGAGAGGGGAGAGGTCAGAGGGAGAAGCAGACTCCCTGCCGAGCAGGGAGCCCGATGCGGGACTCGATCCAGGGACCCCAGGATCATGACCTGAGCCGAAGGCAGTTGCTTAACCAACTGAGCCACCCAGGCACCCCATCTATGCATCCTCTTGAAGGTCATGGCCTTATGAAGAAGAGGTCCTGTAGTGCCCCACAGTGCAGTTGCCCCCTGTTCTCCAGGCCCTGGCACTTCAGGGAGTGTCTCCTATGTGTGTTGCATATGCTCTGCTATTGTGTCCTGGCCACTTTTTCCTTTAGTCTAGTTGTCTGCAGAGGCTCTCTTAGCCTGTTCTGGGCTGTGTTTGGTCCCCTGCTAGGGTGCGGCACATTTTAACAAGGTGTGCTGGTCTGTTTGTGAAACGATACCTGTTGCCTGCACTGGTGGTTGGGAGGCTGTGTGGGTGGGGGACCAGTTTGAACAGGGTGTGCCTGTGCAGGGCCCACAGCTCCTGGACTAAGGCCCTGCAACGTGTGGGTCGGGAGAAGCTGCATTGGCGATGTTTACACTGGTGGTCTTCTGTGGGAGGGGATCCGCAGCCAGAACTGAAGCAAATGTGTTGAAAAGGGGATCTGCCCAAGGTGGGTAGGGCGCAGTGTAAGCAATTTAGGTAGGGGGTGTTGCATAGTGCTGGTTCCTGCAGGTGCCTATGTGTTATGCTGGGTTAGGGGTAGGGGGTGAGGGAAATGGTGCCTGCCTCCTCCTTTGTTCCTGGAAGGGTCTCTCCCTGTGATCTCTGCCTCTCTGGACATGCTCTGAGATTTGTAAGTAAATCTCCCTCCCGTATGCCCTAGGCGTTTTTCAAATTGCTGCTTCTGTGCTGTAGCTACCTGGGCTGTTTGCATGCTGTCTTTTTTAAGGGCAGGAACTCTACTTCCTAATGCCTTTCAGACTCTCCCAGAGTGGAGCTGCTGATTTTCCAGATTCCAGGCTTCAAGTCCCACTGGTTGTAGGAACTCATGAAATTTGGACCCTCTGGCGTTCAAAGTCAAAAGTTACGGGGATTGGTCTTCCCCGTGCAGGTGTGATAGTCTATTTCTCACCCTTTCTGTGCCTCCAGCACTTGACTGTGGACACCCAAGGCCTGTTTCGTTCCCCACTGCATCTCTACCCTTCCTACCCAATTCGATGTGGCCTCTTCTTTGCCTTTAGTTGTGGAGTTTGTTCTGCCAGACTCTGGGCTGTTTTCTGGATTATTTGTGCTGATGTTTCTGTTATCTAGTTGTATCCCTGGGATGAGGTGAGCTAGGGTCCTCCTACCCTGCCATCTTCCCAGCCTCAATCCCAGCTAGGTTTATTTCATGCTTGATTCTAGTTATTAGTTTTACATTTATCATTACTTCTAATAATTCTCTTTTGTGATTGTTGTGTGTTGTTCATGACCATCATCTGTGACCATCATCTGTGACCTCCAGTATTTCTGGAGGGCTTGTTATTAAGATTTGCGGAAGTCAAGTCATTGCATTTAGTAGCATCAAACCTTTAAAAAAGCTGCTAAAGATTTTGATTTTAGCACATCATACTGTACTAGTCAGAGGACACACTGCAGCCAGAAGTCACTTTTGGTTAGTATTTATTCCACGTTTTAAATTCAGGGTGCGTGGCTGCTAGATTTGACTTGAGTTTTATAGTCTTCCCTCTTCTGCCTTCTGTTAGATGCACTAGCAAACACTGAAATAATAAAATACTGGCAGCAAGTAACATTTTAATCTATTAATCTTTTTATTGATTAGGGAAATATCTCTTATCATCATTATTATCATATTCTGACAGGAAGATATTTATTCTGAATATTTGGCTAAATTTACCTATGTTAAAATTTATCATGAAACATGAAAAGATTTTAATAGGTAATTTGCTATGCCGTAGATTCAGATGTTGGAAATCAGTCCCCTAGATTGATCAGAGGATCAACCTGTGATTTTCTGCTTTCAGATATGATTTTTTGTTTAAAATTGTGTCTGAAAAACCAGTTATAATGATTTCTAGATTTGTTTATTAAAGCCTAAAACTAATTATTGGCTTTGTAGAAAAGAAAGCTGGATCTACATGTGGATTTTCTATTAGTAAACCCTGATTACCTAGATTGGTAAACCCTAGGTGAATCCTTTGGACCAAAGAACTAATTCTTTTGGTATTCATCCCAAATTGCCTTCACTTTAAATGTCAATTTAGAGCTGAAATTAAGATTGAGCATAAAATTTTTCAAAGAACTTTGAAAATTTTTAAAGTTTCTGTTTCTGTGGTAAGAAAGTTCATGGAAAAGTGATTTTTGTCAGTTTTTTTTTAACCTAAAAATTATGTAAACTATTCCATACTGCATGAGTTTAAATTGTAGCTGATTTTGACACTCTTATTTTGTATATGTCATTCAGTTTGCTAAACTATGATTTACAAGTCCGTAAATTGGTGTAATTCTTTACCGTTTATCTTAAAAGAGGTAGTATGAAAACAGAATTTGAATGAATGTTCATTTTTTCATCATAGACTAAAATAGGCTTTGTATTTGAGCAATGGCATTACTAATTTGTGAAGAAATCTCAAAAAAAAAAAAAAAAGGAAGATAACTTCCTAAATTTTTCTTGTTGCTATTCTTTTAAGAGCAAAATTCCAGTCGGAATTAAAGCTGGGAGTTCTAATAAGGTGAGTCACTTTTCTTCCTTGAATATTTTTTCTTTACATTGTGAAACTTACCATTTACTGCTTGACAATGGTTGCAGAAGGGAACTGTACTGGGGCTAGTTGGGAGTGGGCACGTTTTGCCCCACAGTCCCAACTTTCTAATTCTTGCAGCAAGCAGAGAGCTTGTATGTTTTTATAGTTAAATTATATAGCTTCTTTTGAGATATTTCAATTCTGTTTTCTCTAGAACTATAGTAGTATAGTATAACTACAGTATCAGATGGCCTGTGCAACAGGTGTTTTATCATGCATGTATTTTTAGTCTTGTGTTCCAACTAATCAACCTGTCCTATTCAGGATTATATTTTATAGAGCAAACAGTTATCAAGGTATTTGGAGCATAGTACTTTTAAGTGGCATTAAAATATTGCTGTGTTAAAGATTACCCTTTTCTTCTTATAAGCATGTCATAATTTACTTAGCTGTGCATATTTTTAGATAACCGTTTACTTCTAGTTTTTCACTGTCATGTACACATAATAAAGATCATCATACCCTCTCCTGCTTCCTCTCTCCATTTTCTTTTTGTGTTTTCTCCCGTGTGGTCTTTTGTTTGTGTTTACTCTCCTTTATTTTTGTTTCAGATCTAAAATAAATAAAGTGTTAGAGACATTTGACATCCCTTCTGGACTCCTTCCCAAACCCGTTCTGTTTCCTCCCTCCCCAGAGATAGCCACTTTTTTGAAATTGATGTGCGTCCTTTTGCGATACTTCTTCCTTTTAACTTCTATTGCACGTGTACCCACAAGTAATGTATAGATCTTCTAATACGAAGTTTTAAAACATTAAGATTATATTTTTTATTTTAAAAATATTTTTTCAGTTATTTTTTACTCTGCATTATGCTTTTGAAATTTTGTCTCTGTTAATATATGTAGCTTTGTTAATTTTAATAGTTGTGTAGTATTCAATTGTATGTCATTGGTTGGTTAGCTCTTCCTCTGTTGATGGACATTTCAATTGTTTTGAGTTTTTTGCTATTACAAACAGTGATGTACCAGCATTTTCATCCTTTGTCTTATTGTGTACACATGTAAGAGTTTTCCTAAATCGATATTTAGAAGTAAGGTTGCTGTGCCACTGGTTATGCCTGTCTCATATCTCAACATGATGAGATAGTACCAAATACCTTTCTAAAGTGGTTGTACTTCGTTTGTGGTTTTGTTTTTAACTGTTGCTCAGGATATGGTTTCAGTTGTAAGACTGTTGGTTCAAGGGTTTATACATTTTCACAGCTCTAGATAAATATTGTCAAATTACTTTCCCAAGAGGGTTTTCTCAATTTACATCATCACCAACATACCAATGCTAATTGTTTTTAATGTCTTATTTAGTTGGTGGGAATTTGTGACTCATTTTGATTTGTATTTCTTACATATGTGAGAGATATTGATAATGGGATGTATCTGTGTCATCGTTGACAGATTGCCAGTGGAACTTGAAATAAAGAGAAAGGTAATAGTTATTACTAAACTTACTATGTACTTCCTTTCAGTACTCGAAAGTAGCAAACAATACCAAAGAATTAGAAGATTGTGAGCAAGCTAATAAACTGGGAGCAATTAACAGCACACTAAGGCAAGTTTTATTTTAGTAGTATAAAAAATATTCTCTTATTTAGTATATTTATATCAGAAATCTTCTGTTTTTCTTGCGATATTTTATAAAACAGTAAAGTTTCAAGTCATTCTTAAAAGGAAGAAGTTATTCCTCATCCTCAATTTCATGATTGCTTTGCTTCCTCCTCTCAGTGGATTTGTTCTTAAATTTCTAGAATGTATCATCAATAGTGACTTTATCAAAATGTAAAAGTATAGAAGATTGCCCAACTAGCAGGGCTTATGGATCCATTCTTCCAGGTTATTATAGTAAAAGGAACTTGAACCTCTAAGCCTTTTGTAAATAGTAATTCAATCTGTGTATTACATTTTGAACGGGAAAAGTTATGATTACCGTAATTATTAAGTTTCTTGTTTTTTTTTTCTAATGACGTTTCCTTATTTTCTCTAAGTAAAAACCTCCTTTTGAAGGCCAACATAATTTGTGAGTGGTCTCAGATCATGCATTATGAAATGACTGAACATATCTATAATTGGGTGTAGGGAATGGATTATTACTGATATTCTTTTTAACTTCACTATTTGTTTAGGTTGGCATTTGGGTACTATAATTGTTAAAGACTTAATATTAAGTTATCAGTCTTATTTATTGAAGAAAAATTTTAATATAGAAAACTAGAGAAGATAATATAATAAAATAATATAATAAATTCACTCCAAGTGAATAGATACTAACTTTTTCTACCATCTTTTTAAGAAAAGAGAAATATCAAAGATAAATTTGAAATCCCCTACATCCTAATTCCCAATCCTATTTTCTTTCCTTCTTTCTGAGCAGTAACTACTATCATGAATTTGCTGTATATCCATCTATGCTTTTGTTTTTATTATATATATAATGATGGTTATTTTATATATGATTTTATTTTTCTCTTATATAAAATAATACTGTATTTAACATTCTTCAAATTTATTTTTACACTGTACATTTTGCTTTCTAGATCTGTCCATGTTAAAACATGGAGATTTGTCTCATTCTTTCAACTGATGAATGGTTTTTATCATATGACTCTCTCCTGTTTTACTTATCTGTTCCCCTACTGATAGACATTTGAATTATTCAGATTTTTTACTTTTACAAATTACGCTACCTTGAGCACCCTTGATAATTTTTTTGGTACACTAGGAAATTTGGCATGCACGAGTAAAATTGCTGAATCTTAGGATTGCCCACGTGTACCTAGTCTTGATACTGCCTGATGACTTTCCAAAGCACTTGTGTGGCTGTGTACTGCCCCCAGTGCTGAGAACTTGTTTGGTTCTCCGCATCCTTGCCGAAAATTGATAATGTTTGCACATGAAATAGCATCTCATTTTTGTTTAATTTATATTTTGTTGACTACTAATGAGTTTGAGCATTTTTTTATCTGTTTATTGAATATTTATGTTTCTTATGAATGAATGAATGCCTGCAATATGTCAAGCACTGTTCTAGAGTATTAAGCATATAGTGGTGTACATGACAAATTCTTTTTCTCATGAAGCTTAATCCTCTTTGGAGATATGCAGTTAATAAGTAAAGTACATAAGAAGTAAGTAAAGTGATGATGAGTGCCCGGGAGAAGTAAAGCAGAGAAGAATGACAGAGGGCTCGGGAGTGGTGGGGGTAGGGGCGGGGAAGTTGCACTGTTGTAAATTGGATGGTGAGAGAAGGCCACAGCGATAATGGGCCATTTGCACAAAATGCCCATGAAGACGTAAGTCATAAGTCATAATATGCCTGCCTGGGGGAGGAGTACCTAGGCATGCATAATTGTTAGTAAAAAGAACCTGTGGCAGGAGTGTGCCTATATTTGAGGAATCACAGGAAGACCAGTGTGGCTGGAGTACAGTGGTCCAGGACAAAGTAGTAGAAGACCGAGTCAGAAGATGCTAGGGATGGGGGCAGGGGTAGGGTGGGGTGAGGATCTTGAAGACAATTAGGAATACTGCTTTTAAACTGAGTGGAATGAAAAGTCATTGGAGGATTTTGAGAGAATGCTTTGAGGGAGCCAGGTGTTATGTTGTGGAAGCCTTGCTATGTGGTTGTTGTAGTAATCCAGATAAGACAGGATGGTGGTTTAGTTTAGGGAGAGCAGTAGAAATGATGAGAAGGGGTCAGATTCTGGATAGATTTGAGGATAGAGCTGACACAATTTGCTTAAGGATTTGATGTGGGGTATGAAAAAAGATAGGAACTATAAATGACTACAAGATTTGTAACTAGAAAAATGGGAGTTGCCATTTACTGAACTGGGGATACTTGCAGGAGGAACAAGTTTGATAGAAAATTATAGTTCAACCTTGGACTTGCTACGTTTGAGCTGCCTATAAGACATCCAGTTGGAGATGTCGAGCAGGTAGTTGGATCCACAAGTCTTAATTTCAGGGGAGAGATAAAATGTGGGAGTCATGTGTGAATATATGGTATTTAAAAACCATAAACCTGAATGGGATTACCCAGGAAAGAGTATAACTAGAGAAGTCATCCAGGGATTGGGCCTTAAGTCATTGTAGGATTTTAAGGTAAAGTACCTGTTTATATTCTTTGCTGTTGTTTCTCCATGGGGGGTGCGGTGGGGTATGGAGGTGGGACAGTGTATACTTTTAAATTATTCATTTGTAGGCATTTTTCATATAATCTGATAATAATTCTTTGTTGGCTATATGGGTTGTTAGGGCTTATCTTTTAATTTTGCTTATAAATATTTTGTTGAACAGAAGTAATTTTTTCAACGTTTAAATTCAAGTATAACACAAATATAATAAAGTATACAAATCTTAAGCATAAAGGTCAGTTTAATTTTACAAAGTGAACCCAACTCTGCAGCAACCATTCAGAACAATGTACTTGCTGCCCCAAAGATTGCTATGTGTACTTTCCTGGTCATTACCACCGTCCACAGTTAACCGTGATTTTGAATTACAGTAGCAGAGATTAATTTTGCCTATTTATATAAATGAAATAATATGGAACGTATTTTTTTTTGTGTCTGGCTTATTTTATTAAACATCATGTCATGAGAGTCCTTCATGTTCTTGAACTTAGTAGCAGCATTGAATTCTTTTTTCATTGGTTTCCATAGTTAAGACTGCACCAAAATGTTTCCATCCTATCATTGATAGTTGGAGTTTACCACTTTGCAACCATTTCAAAAAAATATTGTGATGGACATTTGGTGGTGCATTTGGTATGCCTTTCTGTGTAGAATATACCTAGAAGTGGAATTAAGTACCACTGCCAAGTGGTTTTCCCAAAATGACTCCTAAAATACATTGCCACTAGTAGTGTACAAGAGTTCCTCATTCCACAACTTCTCCAACAATTGGTACTATAATTTTTAAACAGCTTTATGGACATTTAATTGAACTGCAGTATACTGTACCTGTTTAAGTATGCCATTTGGTGGTTTGACAAGTGTACACTCATGAAAATCAGCTTAATCAAGACAGTTATCCTGTTTACCACCCTGAAAAGTTTTCTCATGCCCTTTGAAAATCACTCTACCCTGTTCCTTCCTGCCCCCGCATTTCCCACTTTTAAGGCTACTACTTTAACTCAGCGCCATCTTGACAGGAAGCCCTGGGTGAAGCCCAGGAAATTGTTATGTAAGTAGCTTGGCATCCATCTTCAAACTGACTTTTAGAAAAGCTAGACTGCGTTCCTTCTAACTCATTTGTAAGCCAGACTGGGCCAGCTCTGTTAGCATTAGATTAGCCTTCCCTATCTTTTCTGCTGCCATGGCTTTCAGGCAGGGTTTAGTTTGAAACAATCAGGAAAGCATCATCACATAAGGATGCTCAAAGATAAAAGTTCCTCTAAGTTAGTCATTGTTAACAAGAAAATAGGAATTTATGTCACAATTGCTTTGTTCTTGACTATTTTCAAACAGAAGACTTAGCTAATTAAACATAACTATAGCTATCATCTTAGCTGTAACTAGAACTTAGGCATTCGTGTTTTATCGCATCCCGTATTCCAGCTGAGTCAACTATGATACAAGTATTTCCATTAACTTGTATTAAGTTAATTAAGTATTCCCATAGGAGAAAAAAAAATCCCACCATGAATTGGAAACATTTATTGATAAAGTTGGTGTAGTGCAGCCAGCCTTATATATTCTTGGCTATGATAGTAACATATTTAGGAACTACATCATTTGTACTTGGTACACAAATAACTTTTTTTACCTTATTTTTTTCCTATTGTGTGGTAAATAAGAAGAATAGTTCTCTTATAGATGTTGCCGTTATGTATTTAAGACAGAGAAGGTCTGAATATAGGTTAAAGTGAATATAGGTCAAAGTTTATTTGAATTACTGTAGTTCCTTTATCAGTTCTCCAAGTAGAAATCTTGATCATAGATTTTATTAAATGTGAGGTAGTATGGAAAATGAATGATATGCCATGATTAAAGTGACATTGGTGTTACCAGTGAATAACACGTAGGAAGGGAGATCCTAGAAATGTGGTTTTTGGTATTTTTGTTCTATAAATACAGAAACAGTTTAAGTTAAAGGAATTATGAATGTAAATTTAATTCTTATTTTAGAAAAAATGATTACTGCTATTTCTAAGTCAATTGAAAAGGCTAGGTTGACTTTTGTGTTTAACTCCATCTCTTATATATTTGTAAATCAAGTTTCTAGTTAATTATTGAACTCTAGGGCTAATAATGGTTTTAGTATAGTTAAATAGAAATCTTTCGTGGAAGTTAATATCTGTATTTTTCATATAATTTGTTATTCCTTCATGTAACCACTAATTGAATTTATAAACTATCTAAATTAAAGACGTGACCTCAGATTATCTGTTTTTAATTATGTAAGATACAGTGTAAACATTTTCAACTCCAGATTTAATCATTTTTCTTTTTTATTCCCTCTTTCCCCTAGTAATCAAAGCAAAGAAGCTTTCATTGACTGGGCAAGATATGATGATTCACAGGATCACTTTTGTGAACTTGATGGTAATAAAATAAACTATTGTAATGAAGTTATTTTAACCTTAATCCTTTTTTTTTTTTTTAAAGATTTTATTTATTTATTTGACAGAGAGATAGAGCACACAAGTAGGCAGAGCATCAGGCAGAGGGAGAGAAGCAGGCTCCCTGCTGAGCAGGGAGCCCAACGTGGGGCTCGATCCCAGGACCCTGGGATCATGACCTGAGCCGACGGCAGCCGCTTAACCAACTGAGCCACCCAGGCGCCTCAATTAATCTTAATCCTTTTATAAGAAATTGAAATCCATGAAAATATCAGTTATAACTTGAATACACTGAATGTTGCTGTGTGGATCTTACTATTCATAATGGCATTTATTGAGAGCTTATGTTCTAAGCTCTGTGCTGAGTGCCTTAAGTACATTATTTCTAATCTTTACACTTACCTTAATAAGTATGTATTATTTCATATCTGGGGAAACTGAGTCTCAAAAAGACTAACTTGCCCAGAATCACACAGTAACAAGAGGCTGAGACAGAATTCAATCCCAGATCTGACTGGATCCCATACCTATATTTTTTCCATCATGACATACCATCTCCTAGGGACCTCTATTTCAAGCCACTTAGTTTAGGTCTGTGAACATATAAACATGTTCACACTGGAATTTTCTGGAGGTCCCAACAAACTAACATAAAGGCACCTTGCAATATTGGGGAGGACTCTAATTTGACTTCCCTACAACCCTCTTTCCAAGAGTCCCCTGGAACAGTACAAAGAGAGGGTTACTGTTTAACAGTAACTACCATGACTCTTACTTCAGAAGGTAATTGAAGTGACTCAAAATTTTTGATCTAAGGAGAATAGTCCCAAGAATTGTGCCAAGTAGGCTTAAATCATTCATTTGGCCTCTCTTCACTTTTTACCTTTATATCATGGGTGGTGGAAAAGAATTTGGGGTTCAGGCATGCATAGCTGGAGGCAGCAAGAGTTCCTCTGAACTTTGAAAGCACCTCGAGTGGTCGTAAAGCTATCTATGGGGCTTTAGAAGATCCGTCTGTAGAATTGTGCTATTCATCCAGTCGACAATGGAGTTAGAGTGAGCTGCCACAATAGTACAGTAAATTGAGAAATTGCCAGGAGGTGGAATGTTATCACCATGGTTTATATGGTTTCAGCAAGACATTTTTTGTTTTTTTCAAGTAGGATATCCCTACAATATATATGTGCAATTATCTACCTGTCTGTCTGTCTACTGTGAGTGGCAGGGAGGGGCAAAGGGAGAGGGAAAGAGAATTCCAAGCAGTCTTTGGGCTGAGCATGGAGCCTGACTCAGGGCTTGATCTCACCACCCTGAGATCATGACCTGAGCCGAAATCAAGAGTCAGACAACCAGCTGAGCCACCCAGGCACCCCCAGCAGGGATCTTTTTTTTTTTTTTTTAAAGATTTTGTTTAGTTGACAGAGAGGGCACAGCCTGGGGAGTAGCAGAGGGAGAGGGAGAAGCAGATCCCCCCACCGCCCTGCCGGCTGAGCAGGGAGCCTGATGAGGGACTCGATCCCAGGACCCTGGGATCATGACCTGAGCCGAAGACAGAAGCTTAATGACTGAGCCACCCAGGCACCCCCCACCCCCGCCCCAGCAAGGATATTTTTAAGAGATCTAAAAAAAAGTTTCTTTGGGTATCTGGATATAATGGGAAATTAATAAAATACTGCTGTATGATATTTAGAATTGACAGAGGTTTCATCAAAGCAAGCTGTTGTACCTAGGTTAAGTATTGACATCACTGCTTACTCTTTCATTTGCTCTTTGGTTGTCATTCTAATTATACTTCGTGTTCAACACTCACGGTCACTTCTTGCCAGCTTATCATTTTACCTACTCTTTGATTAAAATATTTTTAGTAGTGCTTAGTTAACAGATTTCTGGATTAAAAAATCATTTCTGTGAATATTTCTCTTATAGTAAACAATGTAAATATATATTTCTATTATAGGTATTTACCAAAAAATGCTACTCAATTGCAGAGATCACTTGGTATGATCAATGATGTACTCAATTACCTCTCATCAGTATAGTGTTAACTAATTTTTTAACATTAGCTTCTTATATTGTAAAAATGGAAGAGATGTCCTATAAGAATTTACATAAAATCATCTCAAGATTTTTAGGATTTCATAATTTAAAAAATTAGTAATTCTTATATTTTCTGTAGCCCTTAAACATATAAACCATTCTATTAGTTGGCTTACCACTACTCCTCTGGGTAGTGATGTTCGTGGATATCCCTATGATTTATATGTGCAATTTGTAAAAACACATCAGAGTAGCTTTAGAGTCATTGTCTAATTATTTCAGTTATCTAAAACCATTGGATTAAAACAATCTAAAGAATATTCACCCCAGTTTATTGGAATGTATCTATACACCCCTGTCCTCTATTTTGTTGTTCTGTCTTTAATTTAAAGGAAGATGATCCTTATAGAAGAAACAGTAGATTTTTTAAATAATTTAACAGGTTAAGGTAAGCTGCTTTCCCTACTCCTGTTTTGTTGTCGTTGCTATTATCTTTATGCATGGCTTCTTTGGCTTCGGGTTTCTGCTCAAATGTCACCTCCTCAGAGAAGCTTGCTGTCACCTGCTTGTAGAAAATAGAAAGCACTCTCACCCTGTGTTGGCGCTGCTGCCTGCTGTCAGAGTACTGAGGGCTATCAGAGAGTGCGGGGCAGGTTACTTGGTTCATCTGTCTGTTGTCCGTCTGCTCCAACGAGGTGGTCAGCCAGCTGTGGCTTTGTCTTTCTGCTTCACTCCTTTATCCCTAGTGCCTAGAGCAGTGCCTGGACGGGGTACTTGCTCAATAAATGTTTGCTGAATAAAGTGGTTGGTTCATAAATAACCTATATAGTATGAAAGATTTTTTCTTTTATATTTTCCCTTAAAACATGCTTATTAATAACTTGAAATATTGTTTAAAACCATAATTTCTAAATCTGGCTGTGTATCAGAATCACTTGGGAGCTTTATAAACTATAGATTCTCCTCACCTGAGTAAATTCTATTTTAATAATGCATTACTAGCAATCGGAGATAGAGTTGGTGATGGAGGGTGGGAGGCTCAATCCTGAGTCTACAGCAGTATTTTTTATCTGTGTCCACAAACAAAAAGCCTGTATGCTAAGTTGGCCTATGCTATGTTTGAAGAGATATTTGGGTTAGGAGGTGTGGAGGACTGGCTCTCATCCTAGAACATGCAGTGTAGCCTCCTAACACTAATACTCAATTAAGACAGTGAAAAGGAGGGGTGCCTGGGTGGCTCAGTTGGTTGGGCGACTGCCTTCAGCTCAGGTCATGATCCTGGAGTCCCGGGATCGAGTCCCGCATCGGGCTCCCTGCTCAGCAGGGGGTCTGCTTCTCCCTCTGCCCTCTTCCCTCTCGTGCTCTCTGTCTCTCATTCTCTCTCTCTCAAATAAATAAATAAAATCTTTAAAAAAAAAAAAAAGACAGTGAAAAGGAAATTCAGTTGGGGAAAAAACGTATACTTGAAAAGGAAGAAAAAACATTAGTTGAAATTATGAATTCCCAGAATTAGGTATTTTGATTCAGTGGACAGTCTTTGAATCGTTAGGTAACTGTTAGCATGGTCAAATAGAACAGTTTTGGAAGAGCTCTATAAAGGGAGGAAGAAGAGAAAGCATTTGGGGAGGAGGACATATTAGGGGTCCAAAGAGCATTATCCAAATGAATGCTATAGCTGTGCAAATGGAAAGAAGTTGTAGTTTCTGAACAAATTAATTAAAATCATGTCACAGGTGGTCCCAGGGGAAGGATGGGGGGGTACCAGCACCAGTGTGTTTGTAGGGGGAACTCAACCTGTGTGTGCTCCCCCGACCCCCGCTTCCTCATCTAGATGCCATGAAGTTCTTGTCGATGTAGGTCAGGGGTTGACAAGCATTTTCTTCTGTAAATAGACAGATAGTAAATATTTTAGGCTTCATGGACTATACAGTTTCTGTTGCAACTACTCAGCTGTGCCGTAATTGTGCAAAAGCAGCAAATGAACATGGCTTATGTTCCCATAAAACTTTCTTTACAAAAAATACACAGACCAGATTTGGCCTGTGGGTCACAGTTTGCTAACAACCCCTTCTATAAGTTAATAAGACCTGCCTTTTCATGATTTGAGAAAGTATTAAAATTTTTAAAAACCACTTAAAAAAGCCAACAACCCACTTTTGATTAAATTAAAGGAATACACATTAAGGACATTGAGAATAAAAGTTTTAAATTAAACATTGATATACTTGATTTAACTCTTGTGATTTGTCACTCCCTTAAGGTATAATGATTTAAGATGTATTTTAATAGCTGAATCTTGTTGTTTTTCTTTATTGGTTGTTCAGTTGCTTTTGTTGGGTGAAGAGGTTGGTATTAGTCTGATGTGTACATTTGCAGATGACCCCACATATGTGTAAACTTACATGCACCCACACATTCTTTATACATGTGTACATATATATCTCAATGAATGTATATATTTATGGTAGGTTTAATATTTATAAAGCTTATATGTAATCAGATCAGTTTTGCAAATGAGCATAAGAACAATGCAAAGAAATTAAAAATATGTAAGAAACTAGTGAATTGTAAAACTTCTGTTTGAACTTTAAAAGCCACACTCCATAATTTGAATCTTTCTTTTTTTAATGAAGATTTTTTAAATTATCGGTTTTTTTTTTTTAAAGATTTTATTTATTTATTTGATAGAGAGAGGGAGAGCACAAGCAGGGGGAGCGGCAGGGAGAGGGAGAAACAGACTCCCTGCTGAGGAAGGAACCCGATGTGGGGCTCGATCCCAGGACCCTGGGATCATGACCTGAGCCGAAGGCAGCCACTTAACCGACTGAGCCACCCAGGCGCCCCTAAATTATCGGTTTTAAGTCTCAAATCTCCATGTCCTTGGACAGTTTCTGTTCATCTGTAAATTACCTGTTTTCTGTGCCTTAACTTGTATAGTGGAGTATCTACATAATGTTAGGGCTAAAAATAGAGCCAATATTCTTCAATTCATGTTTCTGTTGTCTGTAAGTTAGATATAATTCGTTTAGTAGTGCTAAGTTGTAATTACATTTGTGTTCTTCCTACTTCCTTACAAAAAGTACCAAGTAGTTCTTGGAAGGTATGGATCCAGGATGCCATTTTCTTCTTATGGTTATGGATAATCTCAGTTTGTGATCACTGAATGCTCAATGAATACTGTTGGCTGAAAGGAAAATATATTAGTAATGAGAAAAAAAAAAGGGACCATATTTTAATGACCATATTTGGCCACTGTTTTCAGTCAGGTGCCTGCATACTATTGATTTAATCTCATGACACAAAAAGGTAAGAAGCATACAAATAAAGGAGGACATCTGTGTCAACATAGATAGTGCTTTAGTTTCCATGTATTATGATCATCCATTTGTGAAGCATGATCATTATAATTTTTCTGTAGGTGTGAAAGCATGTATTTCCCTTTTCTATCCAGAATGTAAGCCTTAATAATGAAGACCATCTTATCTTTTGTATCCCTCAGAGATCTCTATTAAAATGTCCAAATAGTAGAGATCTAGTAAAGACTCATTTGGGTTTCAGCACAGAAAATGGTTATTTATGGGTGTTTGCGGGGCTCAATTGGTTAAGCGTCCGACTCTTGGTTCCGGCTCAGGTCGTGATCTCAGGGTTGTGGGATCAAGCCCCACATGGGGTCCCGTGCTTGGCGGGGAGTCTGCTTCAGGTTCTTTCTCCCTCTCCCTCTTCGCCCCTCCCTGCTTGTGCTCTCTTTCTCTCAAATAAAATCTTTAAAAAAGAAAATGGTTATTTAATTTATATGTCTTAACAAGTTCCTGAAGTTGTGCCTGCTGTATATGGGCTTGAGAGGGGAAAAGCACTTCTGTATGAACAGCGATAAAAATAAACCGTAATGTGTATTTGTTTACAAACTAGAGCATTGTGTAACTGTGATCAAATTTGAATCACGAAGTTATTGAGCCATTTATTTCATAAGTCCAAAGTAGAGAATAGCAGGAAAATCTCTTTTTAGTACAATATATGCTAAAAAAAAAAAAAAGTTCCTAAGCATGTGTTTAGGTAGGTGAATGTGTAGGGAAGAAATCATCAAATAGTAGAACAGGTTATGATTCTCTTTAGGTCTTTTCGATCCTGGGTGGTTAAAACTTAGGAATGATGAATGCCTCTAAGAAGGGGAGGGGTGTTCTGTTACTTAAGAAAGCACGGAGTATCCAGAGGAAAGGGAGGAGTTGTTTTTTCCTCTCACAAGTGTGAGTTATCCCGGGTCAAGTACAGTCACAAGTGTGCTAACCTCTCTACCGTTTAAGCTGGAGATTACTTGAAAAGCGTAGCCTTTCTCTGACCTTTTGGTAGTTAAGTTTGTGTTACAATATTACATTTCAGACAACTGGTGACATGTGGGTGGTTTTAATGAATGGTTTCTTGTTCAGATGAGCGATCTCCAGCTGCTCAGTATGTAGACCTGTTGCTGAACCCAGAGCGTTACACTGGCTATAAAGGGTCCTCCGCATGGAGAGTGTGGAACAGCATCTACGAAGAAAACTGTTTCAAGTAACTGGAGGGGGTAGGGGAAGGAGGAGGAACGGCTAGAGGGAGGATGGAGGAAGGGGGAGTAGGGATCTGTTGGGAAAAAAAAGATGTAAAAGAAGTCAAACCATTTTATGTTTGAATTTTGCACTTTTCAGGCCTCGATCTGTTTATCGTCCTTTAAATCCTCTGGCACCTAGTCGAGGTGGGTTTTTCATACATTTTCATGCTTTTAGAGATTATTTACAAAATGCCTCTGTAACTAAACTTAATCTGAGTAAATTTTCAACTATATTTTCTTTAATTTGAATGATCAAAAGTATAAGCTTAGTTCATAGTTCAGCGTCAAGTTTTCTGCATGTTTTACATAATTACTGGCATTTATCGAGTGCCTGATATGTACCAGGCCCTAAATAAAACAGGAGTTTTATGGGAAATAAATCAAAATATATGAGTAATCCATAGATATCAGAGGTTTCCTGGGGAACTCTTAAAAATCTGGATGCCCAGGCCCTATCCCATACTAATTAAGTCAGGATCTGTGGGCTTAGACCCAAGTGTTGTTATTTTTTTTAACTGTCCAGATGATTCCAGTACGCAGGCACGTTTGAGAACCAGTGGCTCCCAACGTGCTTCTCAGAGTTGAGTGTGCATACAAACTACCTCGGAGCCTTGTTGAAATACAGGTTCTGATTCTGTGGGTCTTGGGTGAAGCCCAGGATTCTAACGAGCCCCCAGGTGATGCCCAGCGTGCTGGCTGGTCCACACAGCACGTTTGAGTGCTAAGGATGCAGAGCTGTTGAAGACACTCAGGATGCCTGCAGCACCACGGGAAACCTGCGCGGGCCGCCTAGGTCGCCGCTTGCCACACCGGCTGTTGAGCACATGAAATACGGCTGGTGCAGAACCAACTTTTACATCTGGCTGTTTGTTTAAATTTAAGAACTGAAGCAGTGTAAAATATTTTGTCATTAAACAGAACTTTACTGTTTGATAGGACACCTTTAGCTCCGGCCTCACACAATTATTGCATTGGAGCGCATGTATCCTTCTCACTTTTAAAACACGGATACTCGAAAAAACTTCACTAGAAATTTTTATTAGAAAAAATTTGGAATTACATATGTGGCTGGCATTATATTTCTACAGGACATCATTTTTGGAGGTTAATCAACATAAAACTTACTGGGCACATCCTCAGTCTGTTGTCAGCAAGGAGCCAAACCCTGGGAGCAGCCCTGTAATTGACTTGCCGTTCTGATGTTTTCTTTAGACCAGGGTTGATATAAGAACTTGAATTTCCTGGTCTAGACTTGTATCTTCAAGGCATTTCTGAGAGCCAAAGAGACACAGAAAGGTTGACCGAAGGGACTGCTTTTAGATGCTCACTGTCTTACGGTGCGGCACATGTTCTTTCCCAAATTCATTCTGATAGTGCTGGAAAAGGGAATTGGATCATGAAAAAGGTGTGCATCGTTTCTTATGGTCTCTTTTGCTATTTTTACCCTTATAACTTGTTATAAAAATGAAAACCACACACACACACAATGGAAAAACACAAAAGTTACATAAAGTAAAAAGAGAAAGCTCCCCCTTCCCCTTCCCCCATACCCACCCTGCCTCCACACCTTTCTTCCATAGTACAGAGTTTGCTAGGTATTCTTTCAGATCTTTTCTATGATCACTTTTTTTTTTTTTTTAGGATTGGAGTTAAAATATTTTTTTAAATAGATGTATAATTGACATACAACATTGTATTAGTTTCAGGTGTTTAATACAATGTTTAGATATTTGTGTATATTGCAGAATGATCACAGTGAGTCTAGTTAACATCTGTGACCATAATTACAGAATTTTTATTCTTGTGATGAGAACTTTTAAGATCTACTCTCTTACCAACTTTCAAATACAGTGTTATTAATTGTAGTTGACATGCTGTACCTGACAGTCCCAGGACTTATAAGCTGGTACCTTTTGACACCGCTTACGTGTTTCGCCCACTCCCCACCCCCTGTCTCTGGCAACCACCCATCTGTTCTCTGGATCTATGAGCTTGGAGGGTTTTGTTTTGTTTTTAGATTCCACATGCAAGAGAGCTCATACGGTATCTGTCCTTCTCTGACTGACTTCCCTCAGCAGGAGGTCCTCGGACTCCATCCTTGTGGTGGCCAGTGGCAGAATTTCCTTCTTTTTTATGGTTGAATAATATGATCACTTCCTTTTAAAGCAGAAAACATAGTTCATTTAACGAAACCATCACATCCTGAGAAATACCTCACGTCCATGTTGTGACAAATTAGAGACGTGAGACCGCTGGAAAGATGAGAGGAAGGAGAGTGCCACGTAGGAAAAGACAGAGGCAGAAAGAGGGGGCAGAAAACAGGGCTAAGAAAGAAGGGAGGCGGAGCACCAGGTGAGGGGAGAGCAGGGGTCCTGGTTGCTGGGGGAGAAATCTGTGCAGTAGTCAAGCGGCTCGGGCCGCTGCGCTCTGTGCGCCGGGCCCGCGGCAACTGCTGGTGTCGGCTCGCGGCTCCTCAGCAGTCGGGGCTCGGCCGCCCGCACGCTCTTGCTGAGCCGCACAGCGAGGCTTCTCCGGCTGGCTTTCCAACAGCTTTTGAACAACAGAACCTTTCTTCCCCAAAATGAAACCCGGTATGAGAAGTCCACATACAGAGCCGATAAAGGCCAAGCTGCTGTGCTCCCGAGAGCCCAACCTCCGGCTGCTTCCCCCTGTCTGGGCAGCTCTGTGGCTCCCCCAGTGAGGGTTTCACTGACCACGGTTTGAGAAATACTTTTCTTAAGGTGCGTAGAGGCCGAGGAGCGGCAACTTGGCAGAGAAGAGAGGGTTGTGTATATAATGATGAAAGGGGTGCCTGTGTCCATTGGCTCATTATTGAAACTAGTGATCTTTAGGAGTATTTTTAGATGCTTTCTGATATTTTTTACTGCATAAAACATATGAAGATCTTGTACTTTGGGCCTGTATTCTTATTAAGAAGTCTCACTTGCAGGGTGACTACACCCTGACCAAGGTCCATAGTGTAATTAATAGTTTAACGCACAGTAAGTGTTTTAATCTCATTAAAGTAAATAAAATTAGGATCTGAACTGTGGAGGACAGTTTCTAAAATCCTGTTTACTGTTTTCTTTTTCAGGAGAAGATGATGGTGAGTTAAAATTCTTGTGTTTGGGTATGCCTCAGGTATAGAGGAAATATTTTTAATGATCAAAATTTGACTTTTCCTGTCTAATTCAAAAGAAAATGTTTATCCTATTTTTTCAGAAATAGCTACCAATGAATGGTGACAAAAAATAAGAGTTTTATATTGTAAATTTACCCTATGTTTAACAAAACTATAAATTCCCTTTTACTTAAATGTTTAGTATAGAAACCAGGATTACATTCCAACTTTCCAATTATCTGGTTATTATAATCTACTAAAATATGTTCTGAAGAAATGGAGTGAAGTTAAGATAGCTTACCAGATAATTTGTCTTGTGACTTTATTTTCTTACTGACTTTGTAATTTATAATCTCAGTTATTGTAATACTTAATCTGGTGAATAGTGATTTATCAACAGTTGGTTATTCCAGGTTACCAGATGAATATCAGTCATAATAAATTGCCCCAAAACAGGCAAAATAATGATTTCAAATGGATGTTTACTTATCTGTGTTCAGGGACACAGTGATGGGCATTGTGCAAGATAGAAATATGTGTAAAACATGACGCCTTCGCTCCAGGAGCTGACAGTATATCGCAGGAATGATAAGCACTGTACATAATGATAAGAGGTGCTGCACATACATAGTACGAGCAACAGGTGGTAGAGCTCTTCAGAGGTGGGACAGAGCCTGTCTCACTGGAGGGATCTGGAAGTGGCATTTGAGATGAGTTTTGAGTAATACAGATATAGTCTAGTAGAATTGGATCCTGTGTGCGATTAGGAGAAAATGGCAGGGACCATGGAGTTGGAAAGGGAAGGATCAGGCATGTCTGGGGAGACCCTCTTAGCAGTAGGGAAGACTTTATGTAGGAGTGGTTTAAGTTAGAAAGATGAGAGGCCAGATTATTGAGGACTTGGGAGCTCAACTTTCCCTGATAGCATTTGGGGTTTCTCGAGTAAACAAGCGAGCTCATGATGAATGGCCGTTAGGAAGAGTATGTTGAATGAATTAATCTGTGGGAAGATGTTTGTGTAGTTTTACAAAATGTGGAGACTCTCAGGAAACAAAGCAATTCCTCACCATCTAATTTATCCCCTAGACTCCTTGCTCAGCTCATCTATGTGTTGGGTTTTTCTTATGCTTTGCTTTTCTTAAATAAAGTAATGCATTTTGTGAGTTACTTATCTTTAACTATTTTGATCTGTATTGACTGCCATTTTTGTTCCACTCAGAACAGTACTGATCTAGAACTAGATCTTTTAGCATTAGTACATAGGTAAGTCAGGTCCCTCTGTATAATAGTCATTGACTTTTCTGAAAAATTATCTCGAAAATTAAGGGATTTTAAAGTTACCCCTTGAAATTTAGTAGTCTTAGATAATTGAGGTAATATACATAGCTTTACTGCTCAGGAAAAAATGGAATAATTACTGATTTGATTTTTGTATTATAATTCACTGTTTTTTCTAGAATTTTTAAGGAGTTCTATGGTTATCAAAAGCAAATTTAAAATTTTTAAGCTCTTTCACCTTCTAATGAATAAAATTTACATAATATTTTGACTGAAATATTTTCTTAAAATTTTTGCTTAGTTAAATATCATTTATAAGAAAATTGTCCAAAAGTTGCTTAAATTACTTTAGGGCTTTATTTTCTAGAACCATATGCCAATTTTTCTACTTCACATGAAGCAGTGGCCATTTCTAGAGATATTCCTTAGTCTGTCATAGGAAATATTTTATATACTTAATTTATTCTAATTTGTAAATGACTTTAAAATATTTTAACCAAAATCTCTGTGTGTGTGTGTGTGTGTGTGTGTGTTTTTAAAGGAGAATCATTCTACACGTGGCTGGAAGGTAAACTTACATGTCTGCATTTTAAATTTATTGGTTTCTTGTAAAAAATGTATGGATTTATTTAATATATTTTTGTAAGTTCAGGATTCATTACCTAGACAACTAATTGTGACGGTGTTTGAAAGAAAATGACATATTTTAAGTTATTGTATTTTAGGATACAATGGTTTGAAAATTTTGAGGCTATTGCTCAGCCAAGAATAATCAGCATTAGGGAAATATACAGGGCAGATACTGGCCTCGGGTTTTCATAACTAGCTTCTCAGTGTTACTTTCATTCTGTATATACCACTCATCCATACTGCTTTCTAGTAACCATTATGCAAACTACTTTGTAAGTAGAGACCTTCTTTTTGGAAGGAAGTACTTTTTATATATATATGAAATTGAGGGAAGGTAAATTTGATTTCAGAAGATTTTAAACAGTGTTTACACATGTTAATATAGCCTAAACTTGTCTAATTAAAAGATAAAGCAATATAGATCCCAGGAGATACTTTGCATTCTTATATTTTCTAGTGTTGAAAATACAAATGCTATTAATGGAAAGCTAAAACATTCTAGGATTTTCACAATTTTGTTTAAAAACTGGATATATGATGCTTTTAAAAAATTTACCAAATTGCCATTCATTTATGAAAGCAAAAGTTAAAATGTATTAATGAAAGATAAGCAAGTTGAATGATACAGGGGATCATAATCTTATAGGAACTCTACAGAGTAAAACTAAGTACTTAATTCTATTTTATGTCTGCTAATTGGTGATGTTATCTTGTGAACATGATTTCTCTTTGTTTTTAATGAAGTGTGTACATATATTGGCCATTATTAAGGTGAACGTTATTGATGTGCCACTATACTAGGAATGATATTGATAAATGGCCTATGTGGAAGACGATTCTTAACTTTGTTTCATTAGCTGTATTGTAAAGATACAAACTGTGGAAAGTAGTATTGAGGTTAAAAGAGGTGGTGAGAGACTCTGAATATTGCTAGTGGAGGATGGGAGTGAAATGTATGGGCAATATTGAATTCTAGGGTATTCTGTATTAGCCACTTTTGTAGTATCCTACCAATGTAAGCCCCTGAATATTGATACATGGTTTCAGAGAACACTCCTATTTTTATAGGCAACTGACTCAACTTTTCTGAGATTCAATTTCCTCATCTCGGCCATGAGACAGGCAATAGCCAACCATCTTACCTACACTGTGAGTGTAGATGATGCCTATAAAAATGCCTTTGAAAATCACTAAATAGTGTCCAAATGTCACATAATCCTGTTATTGTAAATCTAGCCCTTTTGTGAGAGAAAAAATTACTGTCAGTGTCTTATAAATCACTTGATGAATGTGAATTTGAATGAAATTAAATCCAAAAGAAAGAGACCCACTCTCTAAATTGGATAGTTGAATTTGCTCTGTATTGTTAGAAATAGAAGCAGTATAAAGAACACCCAAAAAAACAAATAATCCAGTCAGAAAATGGGCAGAAGACATGAACAGACACTTCTCCAAAGACGACGTACAAATGGCTAACAGACACATGAAAAAATGTTCAACATCATCAGCCATCAGGGAAATTCAAGTCAAAACCACACTGAGATATCACCTTACACCAGTTAGAATGGCAAAAATGGACAAGGCAAGAAACAACAAATGTTGGAGAGGTTGTGGAGAAAGGGGAACCTTCTTACACTGTTGGTGAGAATGCAAGTTGGTACAGCCACTCTGGAAAACAGTATGGAGGTTCCTCAAGACATTAAAAATAGAGCTACCCTACAACCCAACAATTGCACTACTGGGTATTTACCCCAAAGATACAGATAGAGTGAAAAGAAGGGGCACATGCATCCCAGTGTTCATAGCAACAATGTCCACAATGGCCAAACTGTGGAAGGAGCCAAGAGGCCCTTCAACAGATGAATGGATAAAGAAGATGTGGTCCATATATACAATGGAATATTAGCCATCAGAAAGGATGAATACCCACCATTTGCATTGGCATGGATGAAACTGGAGGGGATTATGCTAAGTGAAATAAGCAGAGAAAGACAATTATCATACGGTTTCACTCATATGTAGAACATAAGGAATAGCACAGAGGACATTAGGGGAAGGGAGGGAAAACTGAAGTGGGGGGAACAGAGGGGGAGATGAACCATGAGAGACTACAGACTCCAGGAAACCATCTGAGGGTTTCATAGGGGAGGGGGTTGGGGGATGGGGTAGCCGGGTGATGGGTATTAAGGAGGAGGGCACGTGTTGCAATGAGCACTGAGTGTGTTATATGCAAACAGTGGATCATGGAACATTACATCAAAAACTAATGATGTATGGTGACTAACATAATAAAAATATTATTCAGGAAAAAAAAGAAATAGAAGCTGGTAAATTTTGCCTTTGTAAATCAGCTTTTGCAGAAGTTACTTAACAGCCATCCAGGAATTTCAACCAATAAACATTGTACGTTGACTATTTACTATGTGAGCAGAATCACATCAGATGGAGTGCAGGAATATGATGGAAAATTATTTTATGTAGCCTTTCTTTGTTACTTACTGTGTTACTTAACATTTTCACGGGGACCTCAGTGGTCGGAGACTGCGTCATGCAGGGAAAAGCTGTCCAGCACTTTCCTGCCGACTGTGTTGTGTCTTGTTAGTACACTCAATTGGCACATCTTTTATTTTTACCATTTTGCTTTAAGTTACCTAATTATCAGTTTATGGAAGTGCATGTCTACTCCTCGCTCCTCACTTATCATCCATCCCCATTTCAAGTACGGAGCTTTGAGGGCTTTGCAAATGAGAATGGCCTCCTCGTTTATGCTCTTATTTTTAGGCATATGTCTGTTTTCCCTTCTCTGGTCTTTAGAGAGGTAGGTTAGAAGGAAAAGAAAGTGAACTTCAGATCTGATCGTTTCATTTGATAACTGATTTGATTAAAAGTTTTACTAGAAGAGAAGTAATATTTTATCAAACTTGTTCATGATGTTTGTATACCTTGCTATCATGAACATTCAAAATTGCTCATATACTTTTAGTAGAAGCTGCAAAAAAGAACTTAATTTCTGCTTTTTGGTTCCCATTTGTACAATGGGAATATTCTGGCAAGAATTCTGAATAAGAGAATGAAATCTCAAAAGAATTGTTTTTTCTATGAGAAGCTACTTGCTTCAGAGCCATAGAGGGTAGAACATAGAGTAAATTGAAGATCTAAAAGATCTTGGGGAAAATGCAAAGTAAGCCACATTTTAAAAATCCCTCAGCTTATAAATGAGGTTATTTCTTATTCCTTCCCACTATTGAAGCCCATTTTCCCCAGGAGTAATTAAAAAACAAAAAACAAAACATGACAAAAACCAAAAAATGCTATTGGATGGTAAGGGAAGGAAAAAGCGAATTGCTTTGCATTTAGTGGATTCTTAAAACTTAGGTTTTCGCATTTTTCTTTATTTAAAAAATTATGAAGAACCTTCTCTGGAATTTCTTTTTTATTGTAAAATATATATAACATAAAATTTACCATCTTAACCATCTTAAACTTAGTGGCATTAAGTACATTTACAGTGCATATTACTCTTATAATAAGAGAAAATCTTTTAAAATTGAGGCAGGGGTAGGATAGGATAGTGGAATTATCTTGACCTCCATTTGAGCAAAACCCTTAAGACCACATGAAATAATTTTCCATCATATTCCTGTACTCCATCTGATATGATTCTGCTCACATAGTAAATAGTCAACATACATTGTTTATTGATTGAAATGTCTGGTTGACTGTTTTCCAGCTTTGGGCTCCTTACAGGTGGACCATACAGTTAAGTAGAACTGGAGAATTCTAGGGCAGAGGATTAGTAAGACACACTAAAGAATCTGAGGAAGAAGAGAAATGGAATGCAGTCTCTTCTTCCTCCACAATCAAGTAGGTTCAAAGAAAGGACATCTCTAGGGAAGGGAAAAGGAGAAACAGCTATTGTTAAGCCAAAGCAGTGACTTTGAATTATATTTGCTTTGGTTTAGCCTAACCCATGAAAAATCTGTGCTGTTGCCTTCTGGGTAGCGTGGGAACTTGCCAAGTACATCCTTAGTGCTTAGATCTCCAGAGCCCAACATTTGCTGTCTCATTCTGCATTAAGTTATCATATTCATAACTCCATTCTGAAGTCAGAATCTTATTTTATCTTATAGTGAGAGGATTTTGATCTAATCATTTAATATTGTTCCTTATTTTTAATGTCCTTGAAACTTACCTTTAAAAATAAGCCTGTGTACTGAATCTTCTTGAGTCAGTATTTCCGTGATCTAAATGGATGTGGTTTCTTTTTCAATATTTTTCTGAATAGGTTTGTGTCTGGAAAAGAGAGTCTTCTATAAGCTCATATCTGGACTTCATGCTAGTATCAATTTACATCTATGTGCAAATTATCTTTTGGAAGGTAACCACATTTTTATGTAGAAATCTTGCCTTCTGTTAGTGTAAATATTGTTGGGGGGGAATATATATTCTCTAGAGAAAAAAATCCTATTTCTTAAAGCTGTATTATGTATTTCTCTTTCTCTTTAGAAACCTGGGGTAAACCTAGCTGGGGACCTAATATGAAAGAATTTAAACGCCGCTTTGACCCTGTGGAAACTAAGGGAGAAGGTCCAAGAAGGCTTAAGAATCTGTACTTTTTATACTTAATTGAGCTTCGAGCTTTATCAAAGGTGGCCCCATATTTTGAGCGCTCAATTGTTGATCTTTACACTGGAAATGGAGAAGAAGATGCTAACACAAAAACCCTTCTACTGAATATCTTTCAAGATACAAAGTAAGAATTGAGTATCAGTGATCTGAAATTCTGCACTCTGAATATGAATGAGATAGTACTTGAAAGACAACAGAAACTGACTCCTAAAAGTTAGTTAGGAAGAGGGAGAATTAGAACTGAGAAGGAACATGGTCAGTAGAACAGCCTAGTCACACTTGAGAATAGGCCCTGTTTTCAAACAGAACTTTGAATTTTATGTAGTATCAAAGTTTAATGCTATTTTATTTCATTTTAAAGATTTATTTATTTATTTTAGAGAGAGACAGCAAGTGGGGGGAAGGGACGGGAGAGAGGGAGTGAATGAGTCTTAAGCATACTCTGGGCAGATTGCGGAGCCCAACCTGGGACTTGATCCCACGACCACGATCATGACCTGAACAGAAACCAAGAGTTGGACACTTAACTGACCGCGCCACCCAGATGCCCCAAAGTTTAATGCGATTTTAGTATTTTTTTCCTTTTTTTTTTTTAAGATTTTTTTTATTTATTTGCGAGAGAGAGAATGAGAGACAGAGAGCATGAGAGGGAGGAGGATCAGAGGGAGAAGCAGACTCCCTGCTGAGCAGGGAGCCCGATGTGGGACTCAATCCCAGGACTCCAGGATCATGACCTGAGCCAAAGGCAGTTGCTTAACCAACTGAGCCACCCAGGCGCCCCCCCCCTTTTTTTTTAACCAGTTTTGTATTCTTCCAGTTGCTTTTTAAATTCAGATGGTGCTGTGTGTTCACGTGAAAGTAGATACCTAAGGGAACATTAGCTTTACGTTCTAGAATATACCTCTTAAAAAAATGCTGGTCTATAAAATTTGAGTTTACTGGTTGTTAAAATGAGCATGAACCAAAGTTGGATTAAGAAGTGTTCAAATTATGCATTAAAATTTAAAACATCTTTTTAATGGTGTTGCACATTTTTCACATAAATTGCTTTTAAGTTCAATTTTTAGATGATTTTTATCATGTAATTTCTTTAAAACATTACAGTCTTATAAATTAAAAAGCCATTTTTATGTGACTTTACTCTTTGAGTAGTTTATGTGTGAGCTATTTGCCACCTTCCTGTGTTATTAAACTTTACACACAAGTAAATTACAAATTGTAAATATTTGTGGGGATAGAAAATTCTGCCAGAGTTCTACTGCACAGTACATGAATTTTTTGTCTGTAACTTGTAATGTTGTCATTTCATCAGGTCCTTTCCCATGCACTTTGATGAGAAGTCCATGTTTGCAGGTGACAAAAAGGGGGCCAAGTCATTAAAGGTAAAAAGTTCTTGATTGGGGGATAGGATCGGGAGCAGTTGACTGGCTGTGTTTTAATCCCGTCCATCTAAACTCTCCTTGCCCAGTCCTCCCTCTTGTTGAAGTTGGTCTGACTGGATTTTGCTATAAACGGCACAGAAAGCCCCTTCTCCAGACTTTTCAATTCCTTTCTCCTTTCTCGTTTGGCCAACTCCTAGTGAAGCCTCTGTTGTTAACTGACCGATGAATATGGCACCTTTGTAAAGGTCTTTTAAAAGGTTAACACCTTTTTTGAGAGAAAGTTTTCTTGCTTTAAAATCACAATGTGTATTGTTTTGATTTTAAAAATCATGACTTTGCCACTTTGAAGGCAACAAATACTATATTTTTCTAAAGTTTATTTTATGGAATATTTTATGGGATGTTCAAATTTCTGGAACTATTATGCTTTTGTCTTTATGGACTAACATAAAAGGCAAAAATTACCTGTTACCCTGTGATATCAGAGGAGAATGTATTTTAGGAACATTTTCAAACTTCATGTTGGCAGCTCTTTGTTTTCATTTGCTTACGGCGTATTAAGGAATACGTTGTACCCTTAAAATGTTCATAAAAGTATTTGAAATTGACTGGCAAGCAGTCTTCTAGTGCAGCTCCACATCTTTTATATGCAATTCTGAAATCCAGAAAGCTCCAAAAGCTGAAACATTTTTCTTATGTTTGGTGCAAATTAATTTGTTAGCAAAACCTGACCTGTCTGATGTAAGAGTATAGTGCTTTTTAAAAATTCTGCTTTGTTTGAATATTCTTACATTTTGCTACAGAACCATTAATGTATGTGATTACTAGGTGTTGCCACACACTCTGGTAGGGTGTTTCATAATAAATAATGTATGTACTATATTTCTAAAATTTGGAATTCTGAAACACACTTGGCCCTGAGATGTTTTAGATGCTCTTTGATAAATGAGCACTGAGTGATTCTCCATTGGTAAGAGTCTCTTGGTGCTTCTGAAGTGAAGTAACTTAGTCACAACTGCATTTTAGTTTTCGAAGGTTTGTTTTGTTTTATGATTATTTTAGGGGTATATTGCTATTGTGGTATTTACCATGATGTTAATTTATTTTTATAATGCTTCCTATTTTTAAAGCATTTATACAAGTATTATACTTTTGGACAACTCTGGTTGTTTTTGTGGAGGAAGAAGATAGGAGTGAGAAAAGAACTAGCTGTCGTCTATGAATTAATGGAAATTGTGTTTGCTGTTTTTCAAAGGTGTATAAAGGAGAACTTAAGTCCGTTTTTCCATCTCCTCCCAAGAACATGAATTACATAAGAATGGAGCAAAGGACTTTCGTGTTCTTTATTTTGTCTTTTAGCCAGGGTACTGTTTCTTTGGAACCTTTGGAAAGCAGCCGGGCAGGGCTTCTGGTGGCCAGAGTTTTCAGGCTGCTTGCCTCTAGCTTCATGCAATAAAATGCTTACCTCAGTACAGTAAAATGAAATTTATTCTCTATGTTTACCACATGAAAAAGATGAGGAAACTCTCTTAACTACTGTTAGCCTCAGAGGAGACTGGCATTCGAGTCCCAGAAGCCATGCCCAGTTGCTTACAGGCTGAAGAATCCTCGCTGTGTAGGAAGCAATTGCAGCACAGTCCAAGGGTCCAGTTAGCAAACATCCCTGGAGAGGCTGACTGGGAAATGCAGGGGGCTGTGAGAGCACAGCCTCCGTACAGCCCTGTCATCGTCGGTGCTCAGGGAACACCCATTACAGCGTGTGGTAAGGAAAAAGGTGAAAACCGATCAGTGGTCTAAGACCACTTTCCTTTTCTGATTTGGACTCACGCAAGCAATACATGAAAAATAAACCAAACATGGTATAGATAGATTTACCACTGGCTGTATGCGGATATCAAATGGAGGCAGCAGTTAAGTTCCTTAAAAGTAAAAACCATGAATCATTACTTTTGTTTTTCCCATAGTGCCTATGTTGGTGCTTTGCATAGAGTAGCACCTCAATAAAAAGTTTCTTGAGTTAATATGTGGAATGGATTTTACGAATTTCCATGGCTACTTGTTTTAGGTGCCATGTTATGCCGTACAAATCCAATTATTTTTCTTCTTCACTGTTGAAAAACACAAGTCATTCATTAATAAGCTTCAGAACTTTTATTTCTTGTATAATTCATACAAGTGCAGTTTAATTTTTAAGACTCTAATGAGAATAAAAATATTTTCTGCATGTTAGGAGGAATTTCGCTTACATTTCAAGAATATCTCCCGTATAATGGACTGTGTTGGATGTGACAAATGCAGATTATGGGGGAAATTGCAGGTTTGTGTTTTGTCTTCTGTTTTAAAACTATTACTAACCTTAAATATTCTTACTGGGAAGTTGCAAGTTTTTATACCCTCATTGTTCATTGAAGCAGAAGATCTGAAGTATGGTTTTTCTGCTTTATTGATGAAAAAGATGAATATGTTAAATCTGTGTTACATGTGTAAGAATGTTTTTCCTATTCTGTGTTAATGATTTTGGTTTTATTGTATCTGTTTCTGTTGGTACAATCTGAGATTCATTTCTGAAGTTGGTGATTATAAATAGTGTATGAGTATTTTGTAGACCCATATAAAAAATATATAAAAAGAATTAATTATCAAATTTCCATCACTGAATTTGAATTTCAAATGGTCACAAAAAAGGAAAGTTCTGCCAAGGAGGCCCATTTCTCTCTCTATATATTCAGTGTAAAAAGGATTGTTTGATGTTTTATCTTATTTTTTTTACAAAGATGTAAGTCAGAAAATCAGGAGACAGAATTATTTTAATGGAGACTACACTGAAATCAGATGTTTCTTTTTCTCTGGTTCTAATAATTGATAAATTTTTAAGTGTAGTTATCACTAATAATTTCTAAGTTTTGAATTGCTAGGGGCTGTCAAAAATGCTTTCAAGGTTACATATTGAACATTGTAATCCTCATGTGATATTTTCTAGGTTAAGAAAGGGCATTTTAGTAATTTATGTCCAACAAATGTTAAACTATTCAGGTTCCTTAACAGTTAAGATAAATTTATCATGCATAATATATCAGGAAGTAGAAACTGTATTTTGCAGTTTGACGTTTTGGTGAAAAGTTCAGTTCATACGAATTTCTTGACTCTCATCACAGTGACTGTGTATTCCTTTCAACCTTTATAGTAATTGTTATTACATTAATTTAATTTTTATGTGTTTCACTATTTTCTCTAGACTCAGGGTCTAGGAACTGCCCTGAAGATATTATTCTCTGAAAAAGAAATCCAAAAGCTTCCAGAGAACAGCCCATCTAAAGGCTTCCAACTCACTCGACAGGAAATAGTTGCTCTTTTAAATGCTTTCGGAAGGTGAGAACACTTTTCACAGTGAAGACTCGCTGGGTTTTGCTGGTTTCAGCAAACTTCAAAGATCGTCTTCTCTGCTAAAGTAGTTTGTTTGGCTTTATTTGGTCGACAAAGAGAAAGAATTATATACTGTCATATCCCTACTCACAAGCCAGGGTCTCAGCAGGTCACAGGAAAATTAATAGTGTCAGATTGCCAATGTTTCTGTTTGTCTCCTCAGTTTTGTGGGGAAAATATTCTAATATTCAGCCGGCTATAGCTTGGTCAAGTACAATAGCAGGAGTAAGGAAAAGAAAGCTTGGTTGAGATGGTGATGAAAGAAAAAGAGATTAAACCTTCTCACTGCTTTTTTTTTTTCTTAAATAAAGATTTCCTGTATTTGAGAGAGACAGAGCAGGCGCATGCAGGAGCAGGGGGAGGGGCAGTTGAGGAGGGAGAGAGAGAATCTCAAGCAGATGCCATCCAGCCCAACGCGGGGCTCGATCCCACAACCATGAGATCATCAGGACCTGAGCCGAAACCAAGAGTCAGAAGCTTAACCCACTGAGCCACTCAGGCGCCCCTGATTTTTATTTCTTAAGCAGAGGAGGCTTTTCCCCTCCATTCATTCTTACCCCATTTTCCCCCTGCATAGATCTATATAGTTTGCTTTTGGTTTATGCCACAGATGGTTTCAAACAGAATTTGAATTTGCCCAGTGATACATGCGCTACCAGCTAACTGAGGAATACAGAACAGAAGGAAAAGAATCCTAGAAAATAAGAGAAAACTGTGCTGCCCTGGAAAATACAAAGTCAAGGAAGAACTGTTTAAAAAAAAAAAGGGGAGGGGGAAAAAATAAAAAAAATTAAAAAAAGGGGGGAGGGGGGAGCCAAGTGATACAGAGATTATTTCTTATGTTTTCTTAACATGCATTTTTAAGTTAAAAAGGGGGCAGTTAAGTGAAAAATAAATTGTTCCTTCCCCATCGTAGAAGATTATACCTGTTGTTCCCATGTATTTACAGATGACTGTGTAGGTTGGGATTTCAAGCCTAAGCTAGACATGATGTCCATTACTGATGATGTCCATCAGTAATTAGTACTTCCTGAAGAATTTAGTTCACCCACTTATGAGGCCTGTAAATAAGATAAAACAGGAGAAACTGAATTAAATTTAGAATATTTAAATGTAACTTAAAAATATTTTCAACAATTTATACATTTTAAATCCAAATAAAATTAAATTGAGAAAAAAACAGATGTTAACTTCCTCAAAATGTTTCTGAGTCTCAGGACATCCATAAAGACAACCCTGTCGGCTTCAGTTCTCTATCTAGAGCCTGGTATTTCCTTCTGCTGTTCTGTGAAGACAACTGGGTTCTGAGCCAGACTAGTTAATATTATCATCACCACACAGTTACAGAATTCTTTTTCTTGTGATAAGCTTTAAGGTTTACTTTCTTAGCAACTTCCAAATACATAAGCATTATTTTATTTTTTATTAAGTTTTTTAATTCCAGTGTAGTTAACATACAGTGTAATATTAGATTCAGCTGTACAATACAGTGATTCAGTAGTTCTGTACCACATCCAGTGCTCATCACGGCAAGTGCCTGCCTTCATTCCCATCACCTGTTTCCTCCATCCCCCACCCCCACCCCCGCCCCCGCCCCCCCCCTCTGGGAACCATCCGTGTGTTCTCTGTAGTTGAGAGTCTGTTTCTTCGTTGTCTCTTTTTTCAATATATGCCAGTACTTTTTTTTTTTTAATTTTATTCTTATGTTAATCCCCATACATTACATCATTAGTTTTATATGAAGTGTTCCATGATTCATTGTTTGTGCATAACACCCAGTGCTCCATGCAGAATGTGCCCTCCTTAATACCCATCACCAGGCTAACCCATCCTCCCACCCCCCTCCCCTCTAGAACCCTCAGTTTGTTTCTCAGAGTCCATCGTCTCTCATGGTTCGTCCCCCCTCCGATTTCCACCCCTTCATTCTTCCCCTCCTGCTATCTTCTTCTTTTTTTTTTCTTAACATATATTTCATTATTTGTTTCAGAGGTACAGATCTGAGATTCAACAGTCTTGCACAATTCACAGCGCTTACCAGAGCACATACCCTCCCCAGTGTCTATCACCCAGTCACCCCATCCCTCCCACCCCACCACACACTCCAACAACCCTCAGTTTGATTCCTGCGATTAAGAATTCCTCATATCAGTGAGATCATATGATACATGTCTTTCTCTGTTTGACTTATTTCGCTCAGCATAACACCCTCCAGTTCCATCCACGTCGTTGCAAATGGCAAGATCTCATTCCTTTTGATGGCTGCATAATATTCCATTGTATATATATACCACATCTTCTTTATCCAGTCATCTGTCGATTATGCCAGTACTCTTACAAGGACATACCACAGTTTACTTAGCCACTCTCCTTTTAATCTTAATTGAGCCCTGCTTTTTAATTTATATGGGTTCTGTACATTTACTTTTTCCTTGGAGAATGTTACAGTTTTTCTTTTTTGTTATAGTTTTTCTTAATAATTGTTAATGGGATCTTTTCATTTTATCTTCTACCTGATTATCAGTCCGTTTAAAGAGTAAATGACTCTGGCTGCATTAACACATAAAATCACCGTGTTCCACCTCGGCGAGTTTGTGCATTCGTTTTTCTGAAGTGAATTAGTTTTCTCTGACGGCCTGTTGAATACAGTTTTACCTCAGAGCCCCGAGCCCCGCGTCGTTTGTCACATGGTGCTAGTAGGCAGAGACACACGATGAGCATTACCTGTGGTTCTGGCCACTGAGTCCTGGAAAACGGGGCTTCTTTACCCTGAATACTCTGCAAGTGTCTTTGCTACAGGAACAGCCATTTTCTGATAGTTCCAGCTTCCGTCTCAGACGGTTTCCTTTCCAGCAAACAGCTAGGGCATTGCTCTCCCTGTTGGGTGTGACAGTGCACCGCAGCGCCCCCTCCAGGAGAGACGCGGTAGGTCAGGGCGCGCGCGCTGTGTGCCCCGCCCCTCCCCGGTGCCGGGCGAGGAAAAGCTCCGCCGGCAGTCAGCTGTGAGGTCTGGCACGCGTCTCCCCGAGACTGTGCTCCCCGGGTCCCAGTGGTGCCGGTCAGTGTGTGGTCTCCGGGTAAGAGCGACATACCTGTGGTTAGTTCGTGTGTCACCTGTGAGTTCTCTGATCCTCTCCCTTTCCTGCCTAAGCCAGACTTCGAGCGCGCTTTTTCATTCTGAACACACCTGCTGTTGACTCGGCTCTCTTCTCTTTAGTTTTAGGCCTTGGTCTCTTTACCGTATCTTCATATATACTTGAGGGTTTTTTTTTTTTTTTTAAATAGGTACTTTAAGGTACAGCATATGATTTTACACATTTATTTTGTTTAATAATCATATTGTTTTTTTTCCTAATAAAAACTGTTTCGATCCTTTAATATTCTGAGGTTTTAGACTAAGAATTCATTTTCTACTAATGCCACAACTTGCAAGAGTAAAAAAGAAAATGTTGAGACTCTAGAGAGCATGGACTTTTTGAGAGTCATGACATAGTCATGACATAGGATGAACTGGTTGGAACCCACCTATTAGCTGCGTGGCCCTGAAAAATTACTTGATTTATTTCACTCTCAGTTTTCCTCAAATTGGAACATCAGGGTTAATTTTATCTACCTTGTAGAATTACTTTTTACAATGACTGAGAATATGTGTGATATGCTCAGGACATTGCCTGGCATACTAAGCTCTCGATATAAGAGAAGTTCTTATTTATTAAGTATTTAGAGTAAAGAAAGAAGCTTAATATTGCAACTACATCATCTTATGTTATAGAAAGACAAACATTAGATTTTTATCATATCAACCCTGAGTTGTTTGTAAGGACAACTGAGCTTATAGAATTATTTTTTTTATGATTCCCATTCCAGAGTTTTACTTCTGGGCCTGGGCCCAAAACCATGCATGCATTCATGCGCTCATTTAATAAGTACTTATTGAACACCGTAAATAGTGGTAGATGTAGGGCACAGGTATTCAGCAGTAAATAAAATAAACAATCGCTACCCCTGTGGAGCTAACATTACCCCCCATGCAGTCAAAACTCCACATACAACTTTTGATTCCCCAGGAACTTAACTGCTAATAGCCTACTCTTGATCAGAAAAGCCTTACCGGTAACATAAGCAGTCATTCAGCATGTATTTCATATGTTATATATATTGTATACTATATTCATGCAACAAAGTGAGCGGGGGAAAGGAAAGTATTAAGAAAATCATAAGAGAAAATGATTTACAGTACTATCTTTATTGGAAAAAAAAATCCGTAAGTGACCCCATACAGTTCAAACCCGTGGTATTCAAGGGTCACCTGCAGTGTGTTTGGGGAACAAGGAAGGAGTGGACATTTGGAGAGCAATGTGCAAAATGAATTTATAAGACCAGTTGTAAATGATTAGAGATTCTTTATTGTACTGAGTTATTCATATCACTGTTCCCATCATTAATCTAGAATCTGTTGGTAATAAGTAACTGGTTCCCTTTGCCCCTGCTAACCCAAGAGTAAAGAACTGTAGCTGTGCATTTTGTCAGTCTTTAATAAGTAATTACAGCATACTCACTTAAAAATGGAAGTTTCATTGGTCAGTGTTGTTTATATTCTTTTATTTTGGATTTTGCTTTCAAATTATGGCTCATAGAATGGTATCAGTAATTTGAAATATGTGCACATATGAACTGTACTAATATGTTTTTTTCTTCTATAGGCTTTCTACAAGTATAAGAGAGTTACAGAATTTTAAAGCCTTATTACAACACAGTAGGTAATAAAGGCTTTTATATGTCTGATTAGAGACATAATCGGACTGTGGGAAGCGTGTTGGTCTTGGACATTCAGCAGAAGGAGACTAACCTTCAAAGACTTGAAGAAGGAATTCTGAACTCTTAAAGAAAAAATTAAAACGTTCACTTGAATATTTATGATTCTTAATAGATTGTCAATTAGATATATTTATAAATGAAGTATATACTTTTAAAACATGTAACTTATACTAATTCTGTGTTTAATTTCATATGTTTCCATCTGTTGAAATAGTCTATTCTGTTTGTTTAGAATTGGTTTTTTCTTATTCTGTTATTCTTTATTTCCAGTTGTCGGACTTAAATGACCATTGTAATAAACACTGTTAGCAGTCTGTTGTGGAAAGGAGAGCTAGAGAACAAATGTTGCTTCGGGCTAGCATCAGTGATAAAAATTTATCAGTGATTTTTCAAACATGTTCTTAGCCTTGCCTGATGTCACCTTCTCTAACCCGGAAGCATCAGTGTAATGAATGGCCCTTTCAGTGTGTAGTCACAGAAGGGACTGCAGAATCCCCAGGACTTCAACTTCAGTTTCACTGGTTTTTATTTGAGATTTTTAGTTGCTGTTGTTGCTGTTTTGTTTTGGTCTAAAGGCCCTGCTTCAGTAAAGGTGAATGCGTACTGTCCCCTCAGCTAGCTGCCCGGCCAGATTGCCCGTGTGTGTCGTGGGCTGCTCCAGAGGATTCTTTACTTAGAACCTATACTCTGTCTCTGTTTTTGATTTTGCAGTTCTTTGTCCTTACTCCAATTTTAGAAAATTTTTGTTCACTTTGAGAAAAAAAATTTGCATAAATACTTAAGTTTCACTTTGATAAAATTTGAATGGGATTATACGGATTTATAATGCCACTTTTAAATGATATACACAAAATTTACTCTTTTAAATTAAGCGTTTTTAAAGGATTTTATTTTAGAATACAATCTATGCAATCCTCTTTCAACCTGAATTTCTTCGGTAGGTTAAACAGGTAGATGAATTCAGCCTTGTGAAGCTTCCCCTCTCCCTTTTTCATTTCAGTTCATTGTATATAAATGGTACTTTGTACAGATGACCTTCATGTCCTAAGCTCATTTTCTAAAGCTGGGATTTAAATATCCTCCAATATTTAAAATATTCTTTTAAAAGCTGTTAGAGATAGAATGTGATTAACTTGGAAGGAGGCATCTGTGTAGAAGTAATGCAGGTACACAACCTAGAGTTTCTCCTTCGACTCTTCAGTCTTTTATGAAGTAAGTGCTCTTAAACCCGTACCTTACCTGCCAGTCTGAAATGTGTTCATCGACGATTTAGTGGTGTATTTTAAACTGTATTTAGTTGGCTCACCCCTCTTTTAAAACTATTTGGTCATCCCCTGGGAGGGATATGGTTGAAAGGAGTAAGGTCTCACTATTTTCTTACCCAGTTTCAAACTTTATAGACCCAGGGGTTTTTTGTTGTTGATGGTGGTGACTTTTTTTTTTTTGGTTAAGTCAAATAAAACGCCGGCTTGATTGGAGCCTTCTCCACTTTTTCTTTTCAGTTTTAGGGATATAAGTATTGTGTGGCAGGAGAGGGGGACCTTAAGGTAAATTTGTCTGAAAAGTGAATAATCTTGTTGGTAAATTAGTAAGAATTATTCTTAGTGTTCAGAGTTTAAGAAAATGTGAAAGTTTTGCACTTTGTCTATTATTACTGTAAGTTTAAGAATCTTTTTGGTAGTGTTACTTCACTGTTCCCTCAGTTAAAAGCTATTATTTAAATTCTGTTTACTGGAGAAGAATCCTTGGTCATTTCCAGTGATTTTTTTTTTCTTTACTGTGATTTGTTTCAAGCTTAGGAAAATTGTATATTAGAGTGAGTTCTAGGAAACTAAATGGTTAGTATAAAAAGTTCTTTTCAAAGTTTTAATGAATTTTTGCACCACCAAGAAAATAAACAAATGATTAACTTGATTTTACCACAAATTGGATTGTGGGGGGCAGCCTCCATTTGTGTGTGTTATCTCTTAAATGATTGTATAGGTGTAGGAATCTTTGTTTTGTGAGCCTGGTGATACTGTATCTTTGTGATATAACCTCTTTTTCCAAGTCCCAGACCCTTTGTCCTACAGGGACACTAGAGGACCGACTGCCTTGTGAAAACGCTTGGCTGGTAATTCCTCTCTCATTTTGTCGTTATCTCATCACCTAATTTAAAAGTCCAGCACTTGATAATATAACTGACAGAAATGATTGTACCAGCTGACGAAGTAATGAAAATGAAGAAAAGAATTCCTTCCTTCAATGGCATGAGTTTATTTTTTTTCCTTAAGTGGCATTGATGTAAGTTAGAAATACTATATATTAAAATTGATAAAATTTGCATGTTTCTCCTGTGTTCTTAGATTATAGAGGATCAGACAGAATAGTAATAGTTTTCCCAGTTTTGAAATTTAAGTCAAACATCGTAACGTTGTGAATTTACTTGATACCTGTAGTCTGTAGGTCCATGAAACACTGCCATATTCTCCAACTTTACCTAGGTGCCAGTGTAAATAAGAAAGGACAGCTATTTCGATCTTCATCAGCATTGCCTTCAGCTGGAAGTTTGGGAACAGTATACAGTAAACCTCTCAGCAGTTTGCAAAGTGAAGTACCTGCAGAAACCATAGCTATTCACCCAAACACACAGACGGGTTACTTGGTATCATGGAAATTATTTGGTAAAACAAAGTAACACGCACGCACAGGTGGACAGGCATTCCCGTTTAATATCAACAGGTGTGGCTTTGATTTTGAACACCATCCCAGATAATTTGTTGTTATGCCCACCAGACTGTAGCGAATGTGAGTCAAATGAGTGTTTCTGCGGTCTTTCTTTCTTGTTTCCCTCCCCCCGCCTTTGAAATGTTTCCCTTCACGAGCTGAGGATTTGATTGTAATTTGCGGCAACCGAAGGAAATACTGAAGGAGTGTGAGCTTGTTTTACGTCGGCCAACGTCGGCAGCCGCTGTAGTACGAGCTCTCCCTGGATTCCTTAATCTTCACGGCAGCACTGGTTGGCAGGTAGAATCACTAACCCGTTTGATAAATAAGAAAACGGAGGACAGGAGTGGCTAACTCTCTGTCCTCACAAATTCTAGGCTGTGGGGCTGGTTTAAAATCAGAAAGTCTGACTCCAGATCCTTTGCTCAGCATGTCATGTATCTGTGTTACTACCTAAGTTGGCTCATGACTGTTCAACTAAAAATTGGGGACTTTTAGCTTCTGACTTGTACAGAGTCATAAGGCTTTTTAAATCTACTTTATTTTTCAAATAGGTAATACATTCACATGGTTCAAAGACCAAAAAATATGAAAGGCTATACAGTGGAATGTCTTCTTCCTGTCCTCGGCCCCCTGTCCATACTGCATATCCTCCCCCATCCATCACCCCCATAACCTCTGTTCTGGGTTATGTTTCCATCCATACTTTTTTGGGGGGCACATACAAATACAAATGTAAAGTCTTAATTTTTCCTTTCATTTTTACCCAAAGAGTGGCATCCTATACATACCATTTGCTTTTATTGACTTTATTTTTCTTGGTAGTCTTCCCACCTCCCTAGATAGCTTACTCATTAAAGCTTTTCTTAGTAACTGCTTAGTATTCCATTATATGAATGTACAATTGTTTAATTAACCATCCCCTCTTAATGGCCATTTGGGTTGTTTCCAGACCTTGTGCATGTCATTTCACACATACATAAATGTGTACTTGTAGAATAAATTCCCCAAAATTCCATTTCACAGACCATGATAGAATATTTCCCTCGGTAGAGGCAGTTACCTGGTTCACATACAAGACCGTACCTGCTTACCCACCACCTTACCTACGTAGATGTGGGTTTGACGTTTGCCACTCCGGTAGATACAAAATTACGTATCAACGTGTTTTAGTTTCTCACTTGTAGTAAGAAGTTAGATTTCTTACTACAAGTGAGATTGATCCCCTTTAACGTGTTTAAGATCCACTTGTATTTCCTCATTTTCATACCTGTTGCTCATTTTTCTACTGCATTGTTGATCTTTTATCAGTTTCTAGGAGTGCTTGGTTACAGATATTAATCCTTTGTGATGAGCTCTAAATTTTTTTTTTCAATTTGGTGTCTGTCTTTTGACTTGGCTTATGGTGGTTTTGCCATGCAATTTTTTTTTTTAATTTCTGTTTCTCAGTGGTTTCTGGCCTTCGAGTCATAGTTTGAACACCTTCTTCCTTGCACGGCAATAATTCACCTATAGTTCCTTTTAGAGCTTTCATGGTTTTTTAGATCTAAGTTTTGATCCCTTTGGAGTATGTCCTGGTGTAGGGTGTAAGTTACGGATGCAGCTTAATTTCTTCCTAGGTGATCACCCAATTCCAGTACCACTGACTGAACCAGTTGGTCTCCTCCTCCGTAGTCTGAGATGCTACATTTATTATATCCAACGTCACACATGGAGTCAGCTCCTCCGTGTCGGGGTTCTCGTTCTGTTTCATCGGTCTGTTTAATTACTCAGGGTCTGTGTTTAAATATCTGGTGTGTTGGTCCCTTCTTCTCCCCAACCCCCGCCCTTTTTAAAAACAGTTTTCTTTAGCTGTGCTTGTTTATTCCATATGCACTTAAAAAAAAATTCTTTAACATGTGTATCGTGCTGAACTCTGCCCAGTTCAGGGTTTTTCTCTTAAGAGTTGTACTTTTAACCACTTTAATGTGTCCCTATTCTTTTAATTTTAAACTTGATCTGATAAAGATCTACTTTTTACTGCCTGTTGTGTTCATTATTTCAGTATTCTATTGCCAGTGCCCAAACATGGGAGGGCAGAGAGAGACACAGGGCACTTAGTGCCTGTGTGGACAGAATTTCATCTCTCAGTGTTTCTAAGATTGAGTTCTCAAATCATTCCTGGAGACTATCCTTATGTAAAATCCTTATTTCCTTTTTTATTCCATTATGAATTCTCTACCCACAAGTTGGATAGCTGAGAAAACAGGGCTAAGCCCTTACGGGAGTATTTTACTTGTCAAATCCATACTCAGTGGATGAAAGTGCAAGTGGGAGAGATGGCCTTTACAAAAGAAAGACACAGTCTACCACAAGAACAGGATTTGACCATTCACTGTTGTAGATGCTGGGAACATGGCAGTGAACAAAACCCCGATATCCCTGCCGTCAGGCAACTTAGGAATTCTAGAACCTAACTAACTAGGCTGTATCGAGTTTGAAGTGAGAATTCACCCAGGGAAAGAATGGACCAATTGAAGAGGAGTAGCTGCCACAGAAACCTGTCTAGTGGAGACGATGCTCTCAATGTGAATGAATCTTCGTGTCCGCTTGATGGTGCCATCAAGTTGTCACAGGTTAAAATCATCCTGCTAACACCCCTGGGTCAGAGTCTGCATTCTTCAGGCAGCACCTGGATACATTATTTCCCTTTCCCTATGGATTTCCTTCACAGAATATACCTCTAAATGGGTAAGTGTTCTCCCTTGGATAGGTATTAAGTCTACAGACCTAAAGCCTAGGCTCTGGGCTAGTGAATTCAGGAAGGGGACAGTCAAGGATCCTCAGCAACACAAAATGAATGGCCCTAGCAGACCATTTGTTTATCCTAAACATGCCTTTTTAGATCCCAGTTAATGCCTTCAAGGAGCACCATGACTTGGGGACTGCAAAGGGACCGGAGGGACAGTTGTAGATTAGCAAGATTCATGGGAAATTGAGGTTCAGAGAAAGGGAAGGATTTTGAGGCTCATATGGACTAAAGAGAAAGAGGTCACAAACCTAGGCGGGGGAGCCATGTGATCTCCTGTTCTGACTACACTGAAGTTCAGAGGCAGGAAATATGTTCTGGAGATAGATAGAGTCTAATGTTCTAAGTAGTAGTAGTAGTACACTGCAAAAGGGAAGACCAGCTTGGAGGCTATAGTCGAATTAATCTCGGCAAGGTATAACCAGTTTCTGGGAAAGTAGAGGATGGGTTTCAGTCCCAGGTCAGGGAATAGATGAAAGAAATCCAGCTTTGGAGGAACCAGGCAGATAGCATTAGGAGCTACTGAATCACTGGATTTGAATCTGAGGACTTTGATCCCCTACTTGATGACCCGGGCAGAACTCCACACTGAAGAAACCTACCTCAGTGCCCAGGCCCAGAGAGCTGCACGACGGGTACGGGGAAGCCGCACAGATATCTAGGTTGGGGGCACGGGGACATCTTTAGCGTATTTCCAGGTATTTTGACCCATTGGTGCAAGGGCTTTCCATATATCCCTACTAAGGGCCTAGAGTAGGGTTAACAGAAGGATGTGGCTGAGTTTACAGACTGGACCCATGGACTGGCAAACACCTAGGTGTCCCAGTGTCTAGCGTGTAACAGGCACTCAGTAGACACTGAACTCCACTCCATGTCTTTTTAAATGTTTCCTCACTTTGATTACTTTGTAGTTTTTGATGAGAACTCCACTTTTTAGCCTGATCCTCTCCAGCAGCTCCTCTGGACCATGAGAAGTCTTAAATATTAAGCATTATGCACAGTTAGGACTTTTTTTTAAATAAAATTCTCCCCTAGGACAAAAAATGGAAAGGCATGTTAGATATGTCTTTGATCAGACTTACACTTGTATAGATTTTATCATACAGTACTCTAAAGTGAATTTTTTTTAACAAAGTTTCTTCAGTTGGAAATCTTAAAAAAGCCTCAAATATTTAGACCCATCTAATTCTAATGTAAGTTTACTTTTATTAAGAAAGGATTCTAAAAAAATAAAAATTCTAGTAATATCTACTATGTAAATATAAATGAGAACCTTTTTCTCTCAGCACTTTTCATGCTCTGGGATTTACTAATGCTTATTCCTTTCCTCTTAATAGGAATTAAGTGTTCAAGGAATTAACAGAGTTCTATTGGATTTTGGGAAGAGAGGCTAGTTGGGGATGCACTAGCCAGCGTGCCTGATTTACACCGTTGAACATGGTAACCAGCACAGTTTTAACAACACGCCCCATACATCCAAGAAAGAACTGGCATAACTATGATTGATGTGTAGCGTATAAGAGTCAAAAAACTCCTAACAGTCCACAGCTCCATGTGTAACATACTCGGGATGTTGTAATCAGGGGCTCAGTTAAGTGGGTTAATTGTAGAAAGAAGAACGAGCCAGGGCAAGATACCTACACCAATCAGTTGACATTTTTAGACAATCACCTGCAGAAGGAGACACCTCTTATGCCTATTTCCAGTAGGTGCCCAGAAACACTCACATGCAGCCTTTAGTGTTGAATCAGACTTAGTACAAAATTTTCAGTGACACTGCCTCTTCCCCATACATTTTTAACTTTCAAATGACCAGGGTTTTAATTTCATCATGTTGCCTTAAAAAGACATTTAGGTATTTTACAACCGGTAATCCCCATTCCTTGCCTTCTTTGAGCCTTTAATATTTCACAGGAGGAGGAGTTTTGTTAGTGTACCTCCTTAACAGCACAACACAACTAGGAAATTAAAGAAATTTGAATGTCCCTTTTCATACCTACCATACCTATAATGTTTCCCAGGGTATACATGGTCATTTACTTTGAGAGAAAGACAGTTTAATACAATCCTATTTTTTATATTCTAGATGTGTTTACAATACTTGTGCTTTAGCAATACTTTTTTAAAAAGGGAAGAAGAGAAAAATAGGCTCTTAGAACATTTTTATCCTTTCCAATAAAAAAATAGTTCAAACAGCAGCTTTATCATAAAAATAGATTATGGCTTTTATCACTTAATGCTGGTTATTTCAATTTTCCTGCCAGTAATAGCAGGACAATAATGTGTTGATACAGCATGAATATAATAATTGGATGATTTTAGTGATTTTTTTTATTACTGTATTTTTAAAAATATACCTACCCTTGAATGACCTAATTGAAGTACTTTCTGAAAGCATGATTTAAAGTTTTAAGTGTATGCTGGGTCTGCCTTTAAATTCTCCCAAGAGAATTAGTAACAAAGACAGCATGACAAGTAGGGTGTTCTTAAAGCTTTGTAGAATAATAACAACTTATAACATTTTAAGGCAACCCAAATAATCAGTGCAAATTTTGCTTCAGTCTAGAATTTTCCCTGACAGTGACCCCAATTCTTCCATATGCTGAAAGGCAAGAACACTGTTTTGTTATGTTATGTGTGATTATGTAGGATAAAGGCGTTCCATACAAATGAAAAACCCAATCACAAGCCATTTAAAACTTGAGATGGCAATTTTAATTACCATCAAGAGAAGTAGACTTGATCTCTGTGAAATCAGTGCCCAGAGAGAAATCCTTTCTGAAGACCAAAATGGGAAATAAGAGACCTTTTGGAAATGGGTTTCGTCATGAAGGCAGAACTTATTAACATAACTTTCTCTTCATCTGCTGCTCCTCCTCCCATCCCGAGAGGTGAGATTCTCTAGGCGGAGCAGATACTGTCTCTCTGGAGACAGTCCTTCCTCCAGTACCTTCTCTCGGTTTTACAGAAAATCAGAGCATTTAACCTCCCTGACAGAGTTTCCTATCGTAGGCAGTGTTACCTGTATAGATCTTGGAGGTTTTAGAATCGCACCTGTGGCTGGAGAACCAGCTGATTTCACTGAAGCGAAAGACGACTGAGAAGCAGTTTTCTGGAACATGCCTCTTTGCATGGCTAAGGGACAGGAGTCGAGCTCCCGGATACTTAAAGCTGCCGCTTCCAATAGCCTGCCTTCAGAGCTATATAGAAATACCAGGCATTATTTTAAATAGGATGAGAAATGACAGGAAAACTGTGAGGATTCCATACAGTCTTCTGGATCCAGGGCATTTATTATTGATCCCCTTTTGAGAACCTCTCCTCTGTTCCTTGAATGTAATGAATGGTCCATGATTTGGGAAAGGTGCCGTCTTGGGAAGTACTGAGGTAACAGATACTAGATTTCACTGGGCTGAAAAACTATGCAAAGTTTCTGAATATAGCAGAGGAGGCTTAGCAGTGTAGGTCAGCTCTATCCGTGTTTTTAACATATCCACTTATCACTGAAGTGTATACGTTAGTGCCCTGCTGAAAATCAGAGTAGCACATTTTTGGTGACATTTAGGAGATTCTTTGAGCTAACAACTGTCTGGACCTTAAAGAATGCGAAGGAAGGAACCAATTACCTGGTACGTAGTCTGCTGATTCTCTGCTACATTATAACTTTTAACACTGGAGTTGTAATGGGCTTTCTAGATGTCAGTTGTATTTGGAGTCTTCCAGGTGTGAAGCTCAGCATCTGCACGATCTGAAGAGGTAAGGATCTGAAGAATACTTAAGTCCAAAAGCCTTAAACAACCGTCAGACCATGTACTGTATACTTTTAAAGTGAATTATGCATAAAAGTCCGTGCAAACTACAAACATATTGCAGTAACATTCTCAAAAAATCCTAGTATATATTTTAGCATTATTATTTAAGTTATATAAAATACATCTTTATAAAAGTACAGAATTCTTTTTAACGTTTAAATTATACCCACTGAAATGGGCAGCCAGGCTCACCTTTTAGTACTAAAATAAGGTTTTCTCAATCTAAATTATTGCTTAGTCCTATGGAGCCATTAGAAACCTGTAACAAATAAAAATCAATCAAGTCCTATTTCTTAAGGAAAAGTGCCTTAAAAATTCAGCTGTCATTAAGTTAGTTTCTTTGACGCTCTTCACTTGAGGAATCTTCCATAGAGCTGTTGACTGATGCTACGCATGGCTTGGTTTGTCAGGATCCAAAACGGAGTCTGGCTGGAAAGTTCCCACTGGTGCCAGGAAGCTGTTAGTCTGTTGTCCCCAATCATAGTAGTCTGGAGTAAAACTTAGAAAGAAAAAAAGAGACAGATCGTGTAATGTTTCAAGTCACCAAACTTTCTACTGATGACATATCTATTTTAGATGGATAAAACTGGGATTTTGTGTAAACTGTAGACAATCCCGGTTTTTAAAGTGGCTTCTTGAAGCCCACGTGCAGTGGCTACAAGTTCACCCACAAAGATTACTGAACTCGGGGCGCCTGGGTGGCTTGGTCGGCTAAGCATCCAACTCTTGATTTCGGCGCAAGTCCTGAGCTCAGGGCCGTGAGATAAAGCCTTGCGCTGGGCTCTGCGTGTGGAGCCTGCTTAAGACTCTCCCTCCCTGTCCCTCTCCTCGCCCCCACTCACGCTTGCTCGCGCTACAAAACACACAAAACAAACCTGAACTCCACAGAGCCCAGAAGCATAGTATTGCTAGAACCATAAGCCAGTCACCATGTGTAACAAAATATTTTGCCAACAAATTGTATCTGGTACCTCTGGACAAATAACTTCTGTGCATCCACTTTATCATCCATATCGTCAGTAGTATCAGTGACTGCCTGCTTCGGCTTCTGTGAGTTAACACCTATAGAGTGCTTAGAACAGTAGCTTAATATACAGTAAGCACTCACTAATGTACATTTTATTATTCTCCTCCTGCATGTAGTGGAAAAGGGATCTTCTTCCACCTAGGGGGTGAGGGAGCTCAGCAGCATGCTGCCTTTGGCAGGTGAGGGGCGAGGGCTGCTCCCGCGGGCTCTGGAGGGATGTGCAGTGGGGGCACTGGGTAAGAGAGCAGTGGTAGGGGTGACGCTCAGAACAACTCTGGACCTCGGGAAGTCCGTGTTTACTGGCTCGCTTCCAGACTTCTGTGTTCCTCACATCTGCTGGCGTGGTCTGTGGAGTGCTGCATTTTCTCTTGCTTATTCTATCTGGTGCCCTGCTCCCTCGTGCACCAAGAAAGCAGTATATCCTCCCAGCTTCTCCTCCCTTCTCCTGTCCCCAAACAAAGGCTCATTTTGGAGCTCTTTTAAAATTTTCCAAGGACATTTACTGTTCATAATAAAGAGTAGAAAAGCCAGGCTGTCTTCTCTTTTATCATTCCATCCGGGTTAGTTTATATTAAAATGTTAATGATTGCCTTTAGATGTACAAAGGATTACCAACAATAAGCTTTCACTTCCAAGAAACACAGCCCCGCCGCACCAGGTCCTGGGAGCACAAGCACGGAGTGGAGGGGGGGCTCAGTAAGCCCTAGGGCGGCCTTGTTGCTTCTCTCCCCCCTGCTGGCCCTGAGGGCCCAGATTCACCGGCAGGAAGAGGGGACGTGATGATCGCTGGGCCATGGAGGGTGGCTGAAGCATCACAGGAGAGGGAAGGGAACCCCCGGAGCTCCCACCCCTCCTGTCTGCCACACCGGTAAGGAAGCAGAATCCTGGGCGTGGGGCTCTACTCTGGTGGCACTTTGTCTCTCATCATCAGGGGCTTCTCCTCCGTTTCCTATGTGCCTCACACTCCGTCCGACTCCAGGGTTTTTATGGAAGCATTTTCTCTTGGATTTAATCGATTTCACTGGTGCAGTCCTCAGCCTCCTAACAGTGCCTTCTACCATGAACTAGGGTCTTACCTTCCCTGAAGTCCCTGAGGGGCAATGTTCCAGGCAAGGTCATCATCACTATCATATCTTCGAGGGTTGTCAAAGAAGTAAGATCTGGGACTGAATCCATGGCTGGGGACCATTCCAGGGCTGGTCTACAAAGACAGTTAATTGTTCAGTATATCCTAGACAAAGATAAACAAGATCTCTCTTGTTGGGAGACTGAAGATGCTATACTCATCTGAAAGGAGGATGTACCTGTTCAACTACAGTGTTCATTTTAGTTGCTTTTATATTTAACTTTTTCTCAGTGTGGACAAAATCTTTCAGAGTTCTCTTTGCAGCAATGAATTTATCTTGTTTTAATCCCTTACTAAAACACTAGACAGTGCCCAAATTAACCAAATTAGACATAAAGCTGTATAGTGATGTGGATATTTACAAGCTACAATAATCATGATAATCAAATAATTTTGAGAGGGTTTGTATCCAGTTTCCATATCCTGCTTCTATAATCATTTCCTCCTGTTTCTGTCCTAAAGCAGAGTTCACCATTCAAAAAATTTCAAAGGACTTGTTTCAAAAGTAAGCAGAAGATCAGAACTGTATCATATGGCAAACCAAAACTGGCGTAAGATCCAGAATTTATTTGACATCCTTGTACCTATCTTCAGTGGTCTATTTTAAAGTTAAACAAGAGTAGGAAACACGGTTGCCTGCCATCTCATGAGTATTCATATGTAAATTCCTCCTTTTCTAGGACTAATCTAGTCAAATAACAGGAAACAAAACCTAGATAAGGTGGGATGCCTTAAAATTTCTTATTTGTAGCAGTTCAAGAATGTCTATGTAAAAGAATGAAGTTGGATCCTAACCTCACACCTATACAAAAAGTAACTCAAAATGGATCAAAGACTTAAATATAAGAATAAAAACTATAAAATTCTGAGAAGAAAAATATAGGAACAGATCCTGACCCAGGATTTGGCAAAGGATTCTTAAATATGATACCAAAAGCATGAGCAACAAAAGAACATAAAATTCATCAAAACTTAAAACTTCAAAAGATACCATCAAGAGAGTGAACACAGCCACAAAAAGGGAAAAAATATTTGCAAAATCACTTTATCTGACAAGGGACTCAGATCTAAAATACATAACATAAAGAACTCTTAAAACAATAAAAAGACAATTTAAAAATGGGCAAAGATCTGGAGAGACATTTCTCCCAGGAAAAGATATAAATGTCCAATAACACATGGGAAGATGCTTGGCATCATTCGTGACCAGGGCAACAGGCACACCCATCTAGGACATCTAGCATCAAAATGTCCATAACAAGTGCTGGGGAAGATGTGGAGGACCCAGAACCCTCCTGCCCTCCTAGCGCGAGCTTAAAATGGCACACCCACTGCGGGCAACAGTCGGGCAGGTTTGTTTTTAAAAGTGTAACCTCCACTTCCGGGAAGATGGCAGAGTAGGAGGACCCTAAGCGCACCTCATTGCACTGATACAACTGGATAACACATCCCAGAAAAGGGCCTGAAGACTGGCAGGACCAACTCCACAAGTACATGTAGAGAACTGGACCCATGAGTGAGGGCAGGAAGAGTGGAGACGTGGTTGGGAGCTAAGGGGCGGTGGCCGTCTGCATGCTGAGGGTGGAGATAAACAGATCCTCACTCCTGGGGGCCTCCAAAAACCGGCTGGGCCAAATTTCCCAGTTCTTACAACCAGCTGGAACTTAAAGCCTGGAACTTTAAATATCAGCAGGCTTTAAATTTGAACTTGAACTTTAAATTCCCGGAGAGGCTGGAGAGGGAGAGGAAACCGGGTCTCAGAGAGACAGCCCAACAAACCGCCTGCAAAGGTGCGGCCCGGAAGGGCAGTTTGAAAGATGCCTGCGGCAGATGGGAGAGAGTTATTTACTAATCTCACACCCCGGACCAGAGAGACAGATTTCCCTGGGAGACTCCTCCAGGAACAAAGGAGCTCCCCCGCCCAGCACCCCCAGCAGAACCAGGACGGGGCCAGCATTCTTACATAACTTGCTTCCACCGCGGCCTGCCCCCTGCAGCCGGGCCTGCCTCAGTCCTGGTGCTGTGGGTCCCCTCCCCAGAAGGCCTTTGCAACCTTGCCAACGTGGCGTGACCCTACTGTGTGTTTTGCAGGGCCTCGGTCCTGGCAGCAGCAGCGGGTCTCCCCCTGTGGAGGATGCTCGCTCCCTGTTAAGACCGCATGCCCTGCCTGCGCATTGCAGAGTGGCCCTGGCCAGCCTGTCTCCTCGAGGCTGTGTGTCCTGTGCAAGAGGACTGGCATGCAGAACGTGCGGGCACCACACATCCCACTCACTTCGTGGAGCAGTCCGGGCTGGCCCGGGACTGGGCAGTGGGGGCACCACCCCTCTGTAAAAGGACAGTGCCACCTTGTTAGAAGGGCGCACCCACCTACTACTTTCAAGAGCTGGATGGGTAGCTAACCTAACAGAAACAGACACAGAGGACTAGACAAAATGAGCAGAGGAATATGTCCCAAATGAAAGAACAGGACAAAACCACAACAAAAGACCTAAGTGAAACAAATATAATATGACTGATAGAGGATTTAAAGTAATGATCATAAAGATACTCACTGGACTTGAGAAAAGAGTAGACATCAGTGAGACCCTTAACACAGAGATAAAAAAGAACCAGTCAGAAATAATAAATGAAATTTAAAACACACTAGATGTAATACGTAGCAGGCTAGAGAAAGCAGAGTAACGGAAAGCAATCTGAGCAGGTGAGAAAAATTATGCTAAATGAGAATAGACTTTGAAGCTCAGTGACTCCATCAAGCATAATAACCGTTGCGCTTTAGGGATCCCAGAAGAAGAAGAAAGAGAAAAGGGAGCAGAAAATTTATTTGAAGAAATAATAGCTGAAGCCTCCCTACTCTGAGGAAAGAAACAGATATCCAGATCCAGGAGGCATAGAGATCCCTCAAAAAATCAACCCAAGGAGGTCCACACCACGACACACAGTAATTAAAGTGGCAAAAAATAGTGATAAAAAATGTTAAAAGCAGCAAGAGAAAAAAGACCGTTACATACAAGAGAAACCCCAAAAGGCTATCAGCTGGCTTTTTCAGCACAAACTTTGCAAACCAGAAGGGAGTGGCATGATATATTCAAAGTGCTAAAAGGTAAAAGTCTGTAGCCAAGAATACAAACAATCCTAAAATTTGTATGGAACCACAAATGACCCCAAATAGTCAATGCAATCTTGAAAAAGAAAAACTGTAGGTATCACAATTTCAGACTTCAAGTTCTATTACAAAGCTGCAGTAATCAAAACTAGGGTACTGGCACAAAATACATAGATTGGGGCACCTGGGTGGCTCAGTTGGTTAAGCATCTGACTCTTGGTTTCAGCTCAGGTCATGATCTCAGGGTTGTGAGATCGAGCCCCGCATTAAGCTCTGTGCTCAGTGTGGAGTCTGCTTTAGATTCTTTCCTCCTTCCTCTCCCTCCCTCACTGCTCCTCCCCTGCTCATGCGTCTTGCTCTCTTCTCTCTCTCAAAAAAAAAAATAGACCAATGGAACAGAACAGAAAATCCAGAAATAAACCCACAATTATATGGTCAATTAATCTCCAACAAAGGCAAGAATATGCAATAAGAAAAAGTCTCTTCAACATATGGTATTAGGGGTGCGGGCACCTGGGTGGCTCAGCCATTAAGCGTCTGCCTTCGGCTCAGGTCATGATCCCGGGGTCCTGGGATCAAGCCCCGCATTGGGCTCCCTGCTCAGTGGGAAGCCTGCTTCTCCCTCTCCAAATCCCCCTGCTTGTGTTCCTGCTCTATCTCTGTCAAATAAATAAATAAAATCTTAAAACAAACAAAAACAAATGATAACAGGAAAACTGGACCACTTTCTTACACCACACACAAAATAAGCTCAAAATGGATTAAAGACCTAAATGTGAGACCTGAAACCATAAAAATCCTTGAAGAGAGTACAGGTAGTAAAATTTCTCGGACACTGGCCATAGCAATGTTTTTCTAGCTATGTCTTCTTTGGCAGGGGAAAGAAAAGCAAAGATAAACCATTGGGACTTCATCAAAATAAAAAGCTTCTGAACAGCAAAGGAGTCAACAAAATTAAAAGACAACTTACTGATTGGGAGGAGATATTCACAAATGACACATCCGATAAAGGGTTACTATCCAAAATATATAAAGAATTTTTACAACTCAGCACCCCAAAAAACAAATAATCCAATTAAAAAATGGGCAGAAAACAGGAATAGACACTTCTCTAAAGAAGACATCCAGATGGCCAACAGACACATGAAAAGATCCTCAACATCACTCATCATCAGGGAAATGCAAATCAAAATCACAATGAGCTATCACCTCACACCTGTCCAAATGTCTAAAATCAACAACACAAGAAACCAGTGTTGATAAGGATGTGGAGAAAAAGGAGCCCTCATGCACTGTTGATGGGAATGCAAACTGGTGCAGCCACTGTGGAAAACAGTATGGAGTTTCCTCAAAAAAATAAAAACAGAAGTACTCTACAAATCCAGTAATTGCACTACTGGATGTTTACCAAAATAATACAAAAACACTAACTTGAAGGGATACATGCACCCCTATGTTTATAGCAGCATTATCTACAACAGACAAACTATGGAAGCAGCTCAAGTGTCCACTGATAGATGAATGGATAAAGAAGATATAGTATACATATACAATGGAATACTACACAGCCATAAAACAGAATGAAATCTTGCCATTTGCAATGACATGGATGGAGCTAGAGAGTATAATCCTAAGTGAAATAAGTCCGAGAAAGACAAATACCATGTGATTCCACATATGCAGAATTTAAGAAACAAATGAGCAAAGCAAAAAAAAGAAAAAAAAGAAAAAAGAAAAAAAAAAGAATGACAACCCAAAAAACAGACTCAATTATAGAGAACAGAGGGTCACCAGAGGGGAGGTGGGTGGGGGGATGGGGGAGGTGGGTGAAGAGAATTGGGAGTACACTTACCCTGATGAGCACTGAGAAATACATGGAAGTGCTGAATCACTATATTGTACACTTGAAATTAATACAGCACTATATGTTAACTACATTAGAATTTAAAAAAAAGTTCAACACAGAGTT